GTGAAGGTGGGAAATAGCTTTTTGGATAGGTACCCCTGTACTAGTGAGGTACCACAGAAGGTTTTTATCCCCATTATTGCTCTTGATTTACACAATGGACCTGATACCTTCCTTCAAATGCATTAGCAAAGTAAAAATCCAGCTTTATGCTGATGACATCAAAATATATGGTAGTTACAGTTAAGAAACTTTATCTGATGTGCATAATGAGTTGGAAAAGCCATTGATTTTATTTTTGGTTGGGCTAGAAGAAATGACTTGACACTGAATTCAGATAAATGTATGTTATTGCATATGGGTGACTTGAATAAACCAAGTTATTAGATCAAAGGTATCCCGTTGAAAATTGTCGATACGGTCAGAGATCTTGGAGTCTTAGTTGATTCCAAGCTGAAGTTCCCTAACCATATTGATAAGGCAATTAAGAATGCTTATAGGGCACTTCTTACGCTCTTTAGAAACACGCACATTGAATACGCTAAAGTGATGATTAGACTGTACAAACCATACGTTCTACCTCACCTTGAATATTGTTAGCAGGTCTGGAGCCCTAGTTTGAAAAAAGAAATAAGAAAAGTGGAGAAAGTCCAAGATACATTTACCAGGCTTCTATTTCACAGAGTTTCTCCAGGAGCCTTCTTCATGCCCAGCTACAAGAGTAGGTTGAAGGCTTTCTCCCTACATAACCTCCTTTGCAGAAGAATTTGCAATGACCTGACATTTTCTTTTCGCGTTCTAAAAAAGAAACAAACTTGAAGCCGAGTAAGTACTGGGTATTTCGACCAAGCTCAACCAGAATGGGGTTATTCAATCTAGATTACGGGAAAGTAATGAACAAACGCTATATGTTGGCGTTCAATTCATTCCTTTGCCGCACAGCTTGATGGCTAGAATTACTGCCAAATGAGGTTTTGGGCTCAACCACTAGTGAAATTTTCAGAAGTAAATTCAAAAAGACTTCAGTTTTAAGTGTTTAAGAATAAGTGAATAAAACTTCCCCTTCAATCACTGTATACTCGTTTATATACTCGTTTATCTTCCTGTTGTTGTCGGGTAGTGGGGGTTAGGGGAGCCCAATGCTTCCTCTCCCTCCAACCCATACCTCTCGGTGTGCGGGAAGGATGAGCTAATACTCCTCCCTCCCGCACACCCCTGTCATTTGGGTGTGTGGGAAGGTGGAGCTTGATGCTCCTCATTCCCACACACCGTGTGGGGTAATGTTTATTTCAGGCTCCGAGCAGTAGTTCTGCATTGTTCTGTTTGCTCGTGTCAATTCGCTACACTGACTTATTCCACTTCCGCAAGGATATGGGTTTGGGCAGCTGCTGATACTTTACTCTCTACTTTCTGGCCTGTATTCTCTACGTCCTAATCGAGTGAATCTATTCGCAAACTGGACGTGAATCTCACTGATCGTGCTGGCGCACATGCGACCCTTCCTTTTCTCACGCCGTCACTCGACACTGTCAACCCGCTCGAATAACCAAGATACCCAGCTATAGTCACATCGTCGCTGCTCCTTGTCAACAGAAATCCTCCATCACATCATCTCGGTTTCCAATCACGGTTGCACTGACCGTAGCTTGTAAGAAGATTTTGAGTTGTTTTGTGTTTAAGCTGCCCGATGTTTGGTGCTTTTAACATACTTATACGCAGTGCACAAGTCGACTTAGGTCCGGTTCACCCCTTTCGATGTTAGTGAAACAGCTCGTTGAGCCCTATTAACTTTTGACATTATGCAAAATTTTGTCGCGGAGTCCTGTCCTCTCCCCAGAAATTGGTTGGGCGAGTATTTGCCTATACACCTACACACCCGCTTCCACCACACATACAAATGCTTAATTGAATAATCAAAGAGTACTTTGGGTGCAAGCAGGGGGCATGAGGCAGACTCCATTGAGCCTTTACACCAATGAGATGAATTCGTAAATGCTATAAACAAGCTTAATACGTCCCTTTTTACTCCTAGGGGAGCTGAACTTGAGCTGCTTGATGGTTGCTTGTCTTGTTTTCTTTTTTCTGTTAATGTTTTCTTGGTGTGTTCCGGTTTTGGCACGCCTTGTGCGTAACATATATATAAATAAATAAATGAATCAAGATAGCAAAATTATTTTGAGTTTACTTTCTTGCACGTAAGGTGTTTTCGCTCTTTTTCATTTGCATTTTAGTAAGGAAATATTATATCACCTGGGGCACCACTAGTTTTCATCTAGCACTATGTCAGGGAAAATCAAAAGTGTCACGAAAGATGTCAGGAAAGAACAAAGATCAAGATCAACACTTTTGCTAACAAGGGATCATTTCAAAAGGTGCTACGGTTGCTAACTCACTGTCGCGTCACTTTGGCCAAGTCTTTTTGTAGCATCATTACCCTTCAGTAAATCTACTCTCTTCCTTTACGCAACATTCACAAAATTATGCCTTTAATTCAACTAAAGGCAGTGCCAAAATTGATGTAATGCGAGTCTCTACCATATTCGTTAAAGGACCCCCTGGATAAGCTACCGCCCCAACTCCGACTCGATTCGGACCTTTCTGCGCCGAGAAATTTGTCATCAAAGTGGCCCGCAAAGCACGATTCGGCTCGCACGGCCGGCTCCGGGTTTACCCGTTGTGCGTTTCAGCATGTCCCTCCACGTAGCTCTCACCTCAAGGTGTCTGCCGATGTGGCGGAGGCGACGCTGAAAAGGCGCAACTCGTTTGCGTTGCTTCCATAGGGCTTTCAAATGTACACTTCATGCAAACTTGGACCCGCATTGATTTAAACAGGAGCGAAAGGCTTGCACTGTGCAAAAATCTCAGTAATCACATTTTGGTGAGACACGACAATGTGAGAGCGTGGTGGGCCATGCTTCAACTGCCACGTAGGACACGTGACCCTCATGGTGGGTCAAGGCTTAAATTTTTTCAAAATGATTACAATTGATCGGTACACTTGTTTCATGAGGTCTTTAACGCTCTGACCCTAAAGGATACTTTGTCGTTTTTTTGGCTGCTTTAGAGTTTTTGTAAGTATAGTATAGATGACGATGTGCGTAATTTTAGCTAGAAATTTTTACATTATTCGTGGAAAACATCCACAAGGCAGACAATTAAGAATGCGCGTTGTCTTCAGCTGTTGAAGGATGATACAACCACACTTTCATATACAGTCTTACAAGGGAAATGGTCAGTTAAAGTAGCTTCTTGCGATGATTTGTACACCATGTTGAAGGGTGTAAAATGATGATTCCAAGTCTGTACTCCTTATCTGCGGTGCGTTTCTGAACGAGGAGTTACGAGCGTTTAGAGGAACAAAAAATGTTCTCTTGGAATAAAAGCAGTTGCCAAAATTTTCCCAGTGCCTAACAGGGTCCGGCACGAGGTGGGCAAATGACAGGCTGAAAATCGTTTTGGGTGAAAAAGCAAAGGGGATATCCTTTTTGAGGCGTCCTGTGCCTCAACAGGCAAACACTGGAGTTCGCGCGCGTCAAACCGCGCCATCGCTAATTGTCGCACGCACTACGTCGCTATCGATGCTAATGTGACAGCATACATGACTACTTCTCATTGTAATCGACAATGACAACAAATTTCGTAAGCGAACGAAGAGAAACTAGTGGAAAGTATGAAAAACTATGAAAAATTTGTATGAATGGAAGGGGTAATAAGCGTTTTTTCCAAAAATTTTGCATAGTTGGTGAATGAAGATGTGAAATTGAATGGCTCGTCTGCAGCGCACAGATGACGATATAGTATGAAACTTGATAAGTACGAACACGAGCTTGCAGAGCTTAACTGAGAAGTCAATAAAAAATTATGGGATTGAAGGTTGTGGCACGCTTTTTTCTAAAAATTTCCCGCTACAAAAAATGGAAAAATGGCTCGTTTGCAACGCAGAGGTGACGAAATCGCGCGAGATTTGATGTGTATAAGCGCAGTAGGACTAGGGAACAAATATGAAAGATTTTCAAAAACTCATGTCAATGAAGAGCGTGCCCAACTTTTTTCCAAATTAGGTTAGTAGTTGTCAACCTAATGCCCAACTGAGGTTGGCAAGACTTCCAATTCACATATTTTTCAAAATTTCAAAAAAATCTGTTCTACGCTAGAAGCTTGGTATAAAGTAACATTTTGGTTCTAAACTCCTCCTCTCCTCCTTGTAAGGATCCGAACTAGCAACGATGCCGGTCATTCCGAGGAAGAAAGCGCTCCAACTGAACAACCTACGCAGCTGGCAGGATCAAGTGGGAAAACGTAAAAATCGATTTTGGCAAGAGCGAAGTCGTTTCACTGATACCCATCTGCCACCCTGGTGCTGGGCCCTGGTGCCTAAATGAGACAACCAGAGTGCGGATACATCTTATTCAAGGGTATTTATTTTACAGAGTGCTGGAAAGCTACCAGTGGTCCATTTATGTAAGTGCTAGGAAAAATGTTATTGCTGTCTTTATATTAAATGCACATTCAGTTTTTTTTCTCCAGTTGCTCATAAATTCTGTGCAGGAACGCGCCGCAGATATTGAAGACAGATTTGGAATCAGCGTTTTATGCCCTCCAGCATGGTATACAACCCATCTCAAAAGGCCACTTCGACCAACCTCCTTCCCTTGTTAGTTTCCCTTCTAGTAGCTTTCCGAAACCAATATCTTCCCTGTCTTAGATTAGATAGCCAAGTATCTCTTTGCTACTAAATCACAGTTCGAACCGCAGCAAAACATTACAAGCGTGACCCACTGTTGAAATTAGCTTGCAATAACGAGGAAGCCAGTCAGGAACTAGCTCAAAATTGTAGCAAGCATGCACTCTATAGGTTATTTATAAAAACTACGAAAACTCCCATGATTAGATAACCTTATTGCGCAGATGTTATTTTGATCCAATCTCAGCTCTAATTGTCTCTCTTGTTGTGCAAAGTCTCTACAGATAGCAGACCATCAATGTTGGTTGCTCCTTCCTAGACGCTCCTAATATTGCCTAATATTGTGCATCTATTTTGTATAAACATAGTATGAAATCAATTATAAAACAAGGGTAAATGGAGAATAGCAAACGGAAATTGGGTTATCCGAAATATCACAATTTTGATATTTTTGGATTTTAGTGGCAACCTGTCTCAGCCAGTAACTTTTCCTGACCTCGTTTATGTTGTTCATGATGCATTTGCTGCAATTCAGTGAACTCAGCCGCAGTTGATGATATCGTGTTTGGTTGATGTGTTGCTGAATATATACAAGATTACTGAGAAAAACGGCAAGATGTTTACATACCTCCCAAGTAACTACGAACTCATCACCAGGCGAAAGACCCAGCTGCAGTCTTCTTGCAAGCTTCGCTCCAACGTTGAATGGAGGTGTATAGTACGGCATATCGATGACTATGTGTTTCGCGTAATTGCTTAAAAAATTCTTATGTCTTCAAAAACTTCCTTGAAACAAATATTGACTAGTGAACGCTCTTTTATGATCAAGGCGGTTGCCTAAAAATAATTGAAAATTTAAACACTTTTGCTTGTGAGTAACTGTCGATATCGTAAATCTGAATTTTTCCATTTTAACAGGTCTTTTTCCTCTGCACATAAATACAGAAATACCTGATAAAGTCAATGTTTCCTTGAAATTCCTTGTAGATTCGATCTTTCTTAAGGTCCTTAACAGGAGCGACAAAAGGAGTCTTTCTCAATAAAAACATCATGAACGGCGATTTTTCATGCAAGGATTGTGTGAGCAAACTTACAAGCTGTGATGCATATACAGTACAATGTCTGGCTTTTCATGTTGTACAACTTTCTTCGTTGCCTTTGTCAATGCTGCACACCAATTCGATAGAGATGGGCATCCTATCAAATAAAAAAAGTTTCAGCGAGCTAATGGGTATGAAACTCCACCAGAAAAGTAGTTACAAAACTTGACAAAAACAAACCGCTTCCTGAAAAAAGCCTGAGGCTGCGATAGCGTCCTTTGAGTATATTGTGAATTAACGGGTATGCTCTATAAGCAATAGAGTTTCCAAGAACCAAGACCTTGGCAGTGGCATTTCCTTTCTGAATAGATTAAAGAATGATCAAAGTTACTAGAAAAATTACGCCTAAGCCCTTGCTACTTACTAATTCAAGTTCCATAGAGCATGCGCAGCACAACGCAACTAACAAGGGAATGGTCAGAAGTCGAAGTGGCCAAACCAGAGAAGCTGTATATCATTCGATGCAGTTTAAAAAGCTGGCTTCAAATCTGTCTTCCTTATCTGCTTCCCGCTTCTGTGGACGAAGCTACAGGCGGTTTTATTGTGAAAAAGTCATATATAAAACCAGCGAAATTGAGCACATTGTTGCGCTTTTAGCTCAGCTTCTGGCTTCAAAAATTTTAAGTAAGCTAGCTGCATGTTTTGGCCCAGCATTGAGGCGAACGTGGCTCTACACGGTTAAATTTTCAATTTCACGCATAATTTCTTAGCAAAATAATGGTCTTTAATGGCTTATAGCTTCGTCCAGAAAAGCGATAAGCAGGTAAGGAAGACAGATTTAGAGTTAGCGCCTTCATGCTGCATCTAACGGTATGCAGCTTGTCTGGAATGGCCACTTCGATTTCTGACCATTCCCTTGTAAGTGGTATTAATGGAATATGTTTTCTACGTGGAAAATTAATTGCGTTTTCAGCGCAGCATAAATCTATTTGTGAGAGGATTAAAATCCAGAAACACGGCCTACGATAGATGGATAGTTTTTTATACACCCATTAACAATTTAAACATCATCAACTACTTTTGAGAAGCCCAAATACATCTTCATACTATGTTTTCCAATTTTGAAGATATGATATGTGTTTTAGTTGTGAAGTTGAATTACGTTTCGAGATCCATGTGTTTAGAGAGGACCGGCCCGCCGCCTTTCATGTATGGCTCAGCACGCGATGCGACTCCCAGGCGAGCGCGTTCCTGTACTATTCGTTTCAGTATGCACGGCGAAGATATCCTACCGTAACGGTTTTAGGTTTGCGATTGTGGGATATTGCTTCTCAAACATTTCTTCTCGGCGAAGTTCTCATTCTTTGTTTGGCAAAGTATTATACTATAGTTCACCAAACAAAGTGAGTGCTGAATCATTCTAAAGCCACAATTGACTCTGCCCACCAAATGGAGAGTGTTTGGAATAAAGAAGCGAATTTGCCAACGAGTTCAAATCAGGAAAGATAACAATAACTATGCATCACGATTGTGGATCAATCAACCTGGTGGAAACAGGCACGTCAAATAATGCTCAATCTAGGTAGTATGTTTCATGCAAGTCCAGTCAGACCGAAAGCTTTATCTTTCACTCCTTCAGAAAGATTGCAAAAGACGAGATTGGTAACTGCTATATGCAAAACTAAACGAAAAACCTTTCTTGCGCAAAGCGATTAAAACCCAATATCTTCTGCACTAGAAAGGCAAGGGTATATTAGTGATCAGATAGAGGTAGAATATTGTTTAAGTCCATATCTTTCGCTTGCTAGGAAAATGCGGTATCGGAGTTGGACTTTAAAGATGATAAGCTATTCACGTAGTCGGTAGAAAAATAAGTTCTTGATGCTACTCAAGGATACCATTCTGAAAGTATTCTTAGGTGTGACCAAAACTGTTCTCTGGCACCATCCGAAAATGAACAATAGTATCGCATTTACGGAATCGTCACGGCAACTTCTCTTAGCGCCGGCAGAATATCGTTTGAGGATTTCGGAATATCCATCGGACACGAATCATCTGACATTGTGGAGTTTGTGCTACATTATTCAAAAAATTAGCAAAGCGAGGATGAAGGGGAAGCTTGTGTGGAACTATATGAGTCTTCCTTTTGTGGCATGACTGCCTGTTCTGCCGTTTTCTGCCCCAATATCTCGTACAGATACTGTGATTGATACCAGCTTGATATAGGAAGAATAAGAGATAACTCTAAGGCCTTTGACACAGTTTGATTGTAACGATTCAATCGCTACAAGACAACTGTTGTGAGTTCATTGCATTGCCGATCAGCTTGCATTTCGATTATGATACTCTTGCCGGATACTGAGTTTTGTACCGTAAGCGTCCCCGTCTCGGCTTGTTTGGATGTCTGTTTATTATGGCTATCAGCCTTCCCAATAAATCCAATATAACCTGCATACTCAGTCTTCAATCAGCCTTAAGCCTCGGACAGATTTCACGCGATTTGATCGTCGCGATTTAATCGCCGCGATTTTCATTCATTTTCTACATTCAAAAATTTTGAGCTGGAAGAGTATCATAACCGAAATGCAAGCTGATCGGCAATGCAATGAACTCACAACAGTTGTCTTTTAGCGATTGAATCGTTACAATCAAATCGCGTAAACTCTGTCAGAGGCCTTACAGTTATCTCTTATTCTTCCTCAAACACCTATGGATTGCTAGGTAATTTCATTGCGATAGCGTAGGTTGCAAACTCAGGAACCACGTGATACTCAAGTATTATTGCGCCTTTGCGATGTGGGCGCCGAAGCGCGCCTCAACGATGAGGAAGTACTGCGACGCGGACGGCGGCGCGTGCTGAGTAAGCATCCCATGTGTTCGCTTACTTACCGCAACGCATTGCAGCTCAGGCTCATTATTCTTGTAATTCGTGTACCGCTGAGTATCACCGTCTTTACTGCACGGCATCGCAAAATACTTCTTACGAGATTCTCTCAAATTCCATTCAATAGCGTAGCCAATTTCTAAAAATGTTTCATTCAATAAAGCTGTCGAAATATTCATTAATCTGTGTGCGGTACTTGAGATGTTTGGATTGATGCTTCCGAGTGGAGGAGCGTAAAGATACATAGACTTTGTGCCAAGAATGCACGCATAGCAGGCAATCACGCAAAGACAGGCCGTTGTGACTCCATTCTTTTCAAAAAACTTCTGCAAACGATTTCATGAAGTATCGTACTCCCAAAATACGGATGGATAAAAAAACTCCTAACTTCAAGAGTGTGGTGAATTGCTACCGACAGCATGAAGCTAGCAAAAAGTACAATCGCCACGCCTTAAATATGTGCTTCTTCTCTTCTGAGATTTATTTAAGCTTTTTAAGTTCTATGCAATCTTGAAAAGCCAAGAATGCAAAAGAGCCGCCCAAGACATACTCCTAGTTCTTGCAATGTATAAATCCTAAACTTTTACAAAGTGTTTGAAACTCTGAAAAACATTGTTACTTTTCAAACTCAGCGCTTGAGAATCCGCAAAATATCGGGTTGCTGATATAATCGGCCAGTGAACAAGATACAGAACGTAGGATAAGTCTCCACAATAAACTATGAATCCATTTGTCAGAGAGAATGCATCTGTACTAAGATAAACCATTAAGCCAGCCATTAACGTTGACCATATCCTGTGCATTTGTAATTAGGAACTTGATTATGAAGGCAAATATGCTTAACAGCGAATTTTCTGTCATGTGAATTATGCTTAAAAGCTGACATACCTGGCCGTATCATCGGAAACATACTTTGGGCTAATAACCACTGTCACGACTAGGACAAACAACAAAATATTCGTGAGTGAAGATCCACTCGAGAAACCCGCATTCGGTACTAAATGCATGTATGACCAAAAGTGCACTGATTGCATCAACACCGTCAAATAAGTAATCCTATCAAAACTGCTGCTTTTGCCGTTCCACTTCTCCATGTAAGCTAGTTACCAAATTGGCTGCTTTAGCGCCTTTTGAACGATTGCCTTACTCTTATACACTTTGCTCTAACATTCTCGCCGAAAGTCGTAGGCACCAAATGCAGACTTCTGTAGAAAATGTTATATAGAGACTTCCAAGACTTATGTGATGCATTACATTTCTTAGATTACTGTCTCATTGAATGCAATAACGAATGCCGAGCCATAGAGCGTAAAGGAGCATGTACGGGTGTCTCAGGAGCATGTATACACTCAATAATCATCAACCCTGTCACAACGTATTCTTTACGCTGATACAGATAGATCGAAAATAAATTACGATCAAGAAAAGGCTGACTTCTAATTTCACCGGTTCCAAGTATTCATCTTGCCCATTCAATTCGATTTTGGGGCTAACTTCTCGTACATTTATCCATCTGTTCTTCTTCAGTCATTGCTTGCATGTTTAACAACCCTTAAACTTACATTCGGCTTAGCCACTGCTTGTTCTACAAATGCTGCTACTACATATGGGAACACCTCTCTTTCAGTTGATGCTGAAGTTACATAAGTCTATTTTCTACCCATGCCTGCTCTCGCTCACACACGCACCACGTAAATAACTGAAATAGACTGACAGAACAAATCAATACAAAGGTGCGCGGTCTAATCGGCAAACTTTGGAAACCCGAAACCTTCCCAACAATGATATGGAAGGAAACTACAAACTGCGCACGCAAGCAACTCCAAAAACCAAGGAAACAAAAAATTAGCAAACAAAATTCAAGCTTTCGATAGAATTGACATACTTATCTAATAAAAAGTCAGCAAAAATGTCTCACAGATGAAAAAAGGCTCACACTCAAAATGAGCATGATGAGCAGACGAGAGTGTACTTAAGTTTTGAAATTAGGCGTGATTTACTTGCTCCAACCTGAAACTGTTCTTTCTTTACGCTCAGACTAGTGAGTACGGTTAAAGCTATCGGCGCATTCACTACAGTCAGTGCGATCGGTATTAGTGCTGCAGCACAAAACCTCTAGGTTTACAATTTGGAATAAACCGCTTCTCAGTATCGTGCGATTACCATCAAATTTTCTTGCACATTAACTTCTTTGTCATTTGGCAGGTAATTCCATTGTTACGGAGAGGTTCTAAAGCAATTTTGTAGAGGTGTTTCAAAGCACGGACTTTATACAGAAAGGTTCCCATGATTGTTTGCAAACGTCAGAAACCGGCTGGTTCTGTTTCTAGGCTTTTTGAGAACAGAGTTTTTCCTGGCTTTTGCAAAATTTTACGAAATTTCCTTCGACCTTTTTTGAGAGCGTAGAAAAAACTCACCTAACTTGTCCCTGTTAGGACTCACAAAACGATATCCCCTTTGCTTTTTCACCCCAAAATCAAAGTCAAGCCTGCTTGCAAATGAGGCCGCGCCCTGGACGTAATTCAGCAAGTAACAGAATTTTCTGCTTTATCAGCTTTTCTGGTTGACGGCGCTCGAATGGTCGCTTGAATCACTGTCGCAATTCACAGTAAAATAAGGTCCTATGATTTTTTTTACCGTAAATTTCAGATAAACGATCTTTGCTAATTTTCAGATGTTCCTAAATACCTGCTTTGTCAATCTGCTTCGGCAAGTACATCCCTGTAGCCGAGGGCGTGGCCGCCCAATTCACTTTTTTATAGCCTGTATAGAATTTGATGTTAGTAGCAACTATCTTTGTGTAAGGTTTAGATAAAAATACTTCACAAACCTCTATCAGCAATCACATAGCTATATCTTGCAATTTTTTTCTTAAAAAACCATCATAAAAAATATCTTTTAACATCTTTCTTTACATTATTGAACGCAACGGATTAGGTAATTTCCTCTTCTTCTTTTATTTAATTATCACTGCTCAAATCTAAGAAACTTAGTAAAATGCATAATCCTGGTTCTTTTTACTATGGATCAACTGCGAACTTGAAGAAATGTCCGAATTCATGAACAGTTCACGAACGTTTGCCAACATACCCTCGTATGACAATTTAATCTTGCCTTGTTTGTAAGCATTTTCTAACGAATTCTTTTCTTCTTGGCGTAGCTGACTCTTGTCTTTCGAAAAAAATGGTTTCGAGAACTCGTACGCTATCGACCCGCACATAAACTGCCAGATCCGAGATACTAAGAAACCATAGGATACCTGAAATAGGTTGATTATAAATTACGGAAGGAAAAAGCTGCTAATATACTAATTTTCAATTGCATTGCGCATCTAAACTGACAACATTTTGAAAACCATACTTGAATACATTTAAATACTTTAACGTTAGCAGTGAACTTGGAAGCTGTGATATGGTACACGCTTGAATAAATACACAATAACGAAAAACTGCAGAAAGTAGGATACGATTTCTCAAATTTCTGCGTTAAACTAGAAGTTGGGAATTTTCTTAGAGGCTGGTGAGGATGCTATCTAGAGGATAAGGTAATATCAGCAGAATTGTGTTATTTTATTATTTTTTCGACTTGCGTGGGACTTAAAACAATCAAAAAAAGCACATCCAATAGTGCTCGAGGCAGATTTTTTCTCTTTCCGAAAAATGGTATGCATGTTTTAGAACTAAACTTTTTCATGATTGCTTTACTAGCGCCGATATTTTAGATTTATCACTTTTACCATATATGAACTTAGCTTGTCGTTTTGAAAAACTTCGAAATACTATAAAAATTCAACTAACAGCAAACAGAGTAATTTTGCAATGGTATCTTTTCCAGCTCCTTCCTGTTTTGCTTTTTAATGTTTTCAAAAACTAATACTAAAGTTGCGTTTATGTTTAGATTAATGTATGCCCTCAAGGTGCGTCAAAAAAAAAAACTCAGGAAAATATGATAGAAGGAAAATCTTGACAGCAGAAAAAATTTATGAGACACTGTTTTTCATGCTAAGTATACCACTTGCAGAATGCACCTATGATGAACCGATAACGAAAATTCGCATGAGAAGAAGTGCACAGAAATGGCGGCGTGGCGTTATACTACAAAGACCTCGCCGCCAAAGCTCGCCGCCATAGTCGGCACGCGCGCCGAGCTGGCTTACTGTATCCCGCACCCATTTTACACCGGTGAGCGTGAGCCATGAGGCAACCGCGAGAGCGCAGCCTCGTCAGCTTTGTCGCGTTGCAGATTTTACAAGGAGTTACATGAAAATACTCAGAAAAAATTCCTCTTTCAGATTTTAACGTGCGGTATCGTCCGTCGCACCGCATAAACTGAAAACTTCAGAAAAACTTGTTAATTTCCTGTTTTTTATTTGATTCATGTTCGTTTTCCAAATGAAAACTAAAGATTCGTTTGGAAACTCCCTAGTGTTTCTTCAGTTTTCTTTCTTTGTTTCATGTTGGTTTTTGCATGGTTGCTATGGTTAATTAATTGTCACTGCAAGCTGTGACCCGTGGCCTAGACTGCAAGTTGAGGTTAGTAACACGGCGATGACCTGCGGACTTAATTTATTAGGACAAAAAAAGATAGCTGATGCTAGATTTTAATTCCTATGATTTTACGTGAAATTCATTAATCAAAAAAACAAGAGATTGACAAGTTTTATTGAATTTTTCACCTTATGCGGTGCGACGGACAATATCGCACGTTAAAATCTGAAAAAAAATTTTCTGAGTATCTTCATGTAACTTTATGTAAAATTCGCGACATCGCGGCGCGATGTCGCAACGCGACAAAGCTGACGAAACTGCGCTCTCGCGGTTGCCTCATGGCTCACGCTCACCGGTGCAAAATGGGTGCGGGATACAGTAAGCCAGCTCGGCGCGCGTGCCGACTATGGCGGCGAGCTTTGGCGGCGAGGTCTTTGTAGTATAACGCACGTCCTCCCACAAAAATAGCCTTAACGGCTAAGCAGAACCAACAGATTATTAGCACCAGAAAAATGCCACCGTCCAAGGCGTAATGTAAGCCTTGAAGGCGTCCGAGGTTAGACTGATTTAGGTATCTATCAACCCAACAATTTAGCCTGTGGTTTGTTCAAGCAAATGTAATCAAAAATCACACAGTTCAAAGCAATAGAACAAACTTTAAGGGGTGGAAGAGTGACAAATCATTGGAGGAGATGGTGAACTAACAGGGACTATCAAACAGGTACGAATAACAATCACATGATTCTCCTTTTACCTACTCTCAGTACTCAATCACATCAAAAAGCAAACACAAGGGTTTGAAAGCAGCTGAAACGAAAAAGAATAGAGTAGAACTTTAAAAGATTCTATGATGAAAGATAAATAAGAAGAAGTAAGAAAACAAAATGCATAAAGATTCAGCCTTAAAAGCCCAAGAAAATCGTAGCACTAAAAGCCTGCACAATACGATAAGAATGCAACAAAATCAAAGAGAGCAATCATTGCATCGTTAAAGCGATCTTGCACAGTTTTAGAAAAGGTAACCAATGTTCTGATTTGAGTTGATAGGTTTCAGCGATCGAAACCCTAGTACTGGTAGGTTTGTATTAGGGTGATCCAAAAGTATTGGGCCACCTTGATTTTTTTAAACAATCTTCAAGATCTTTATCTGATTAGCTATGAATAAGCAGCAATTTGAACGCTTTTGTATAAAGTGACCTACGCTGCTGACAACCGATGCAGTATGCTTGGAAAATCTCAAATCACAATCGATGTAACTTCCAGACGTCATGCATCGGAACAAGCCACTCATCTCAATTCCATCATTATTATAAGAAGTTGAAGAATGCTAACCATGATGAGGCAGAAAACCTTGTATAGGATGTAAGAGAGTACAATTTTAGCAGCCCAATTTCATTACCAGTCATTACCATTTCATCAGTCGATAACCGCAGTACATTATGCTGTACAAGCATTTTCTCCATTGTATATATCTTTACACGTCAGCATATATAATATCACATTGTTTTCAATGTTTCGGTCAGACTCAAAAGTATATCAATTTCGGAGGAGATAAACAGCCCCTTATGGAGCTCCACTGGGAGAACAAAATTTTTCGAGTATGCATGAGCATTTTTTACCCGCTCTTCTAATTGTTCGAATAAGACTCGAAAGTTTTTGTTGATAAGTTGCACATAGCATAATACCAACATTATTATTCCCCAGATTTCAAGGGTTTTGAAAAAACACACACAAATCAAACAATGAATGATGGAAATGGGGGCTTAATGCTTGAATTTATAAGAATTTTTGTTCCCAACTATGACCACGCGCATTCAGATCGTGGACCACGACGTCAAGACGGGATGAAAATTCCGAGAAAGAGAGGAATTGCAAGAAATGATACACAAAATACTATGATTCGGTGATTCTAGAAGTTTGGGCAAATTGAATTGGTAACAGCCACCTCGAGAGATTATATCCGAATTACTATGAAACAAACGGAAAAGAACAGATTGAAACACTGCATACTCAAACAGTTTGCTTCTGCTTTCTTGTCACCTTGGATAAAGGTCTAGAATGAGATCTGATTCAAAGTATCCTTATTTTCAAGAATTCGCAAGGTTTACATATGACGACATAAGAGGATCACTTCGAGAACATGGCATGAGAAAAACCAAAAAAAAACTGCATCGAATAGCTTCAGCGCTTTTGTTTATTATCGATGTGTGAAGCGCGTTTGTCCATAACTGCTGAAAAAGCTCAAACAGCCAAACTTTTTCAAAAAATGAGCAACAAGCACGTTGTGGTTATCGGAAGCTCACGATCTCGCATTTTTCCAACTAAATTGGGAATAGCAAACGTGTTCTCTTGGTATTCAAAAACTGCGTTCTCCGTTGAATTTCGGACCTTTGTCTTGAAGGAATTGGTTACGTAAGTTGTAACAGAGCAACGGCTGTTCCAATATCTCAAGAGGAAGGATGGAAAATGTGGAGTAAAAGACAATTTACAAACACTCCTTCATCTATAGATTAACGTAGAGTCTAGCATGATAGCAAGATATAACACCGTGTACTCACCTTGGGTGGAGCATAGAGTTGGAAAATGACAGAAAATACTCCAATTGTAAGGAACAATATAATGCGTGCATTGTGTTCAAGGCAGAGTGCTAGACCCATGATAAATGGTACAATAAGATAGTATTGTAATTCCACTCCGAGAGACCAGGCATGTACAAAAAATCGGTATGTCGAGAGCTAAATTTTTAATGGTCATAAACACTGTAATGATCAGCTGTGCAAGTTGATCAATCACCTGATCCCAATATCCAAGCTTCTGAAAAATGGGCTGTAGATTAGAGCTGTAAGTGTATGCCCAAGTCAGATCGTCAAGGATTTGTTTGCGATCGAAACGCAATACGTAGAAGTAGCCAACTGCAAAAACACCAAAGATCTTGCACATTTGCTACTGATAGTGACTAGGATACAGAACAAAACAGCTGCCTGCATGAGCATGGCTTCTCGAAACAATTTCAACAGTTATGGAGAGCTTCTACTGACTTACAAATGTAAACGGACACGACGAATAACATGTACAGAGGTACAATCCTCTTGAATCTGCGGCTGTAAAAATACCAAACGGACCACAATGTAAGTTTTTTCTCGAGGAGGATTTTGGCCATCAGAAAGCCGGAAAGGACAAAGAAGCTGAATTTAATTCAATAATATTGCCAAAAATTTGAATAACGAATTTACATGTCCACTCCCACGAATCCAAGGCGATATGAATTTGGCTTCAAATGCATTAGAAGCACAAATAAGATAGCTACTCCTCTTAGACCTTGTAGATCTGCACGTTTTTGCTTCGTGGACGTAGTGGCATTGTGTCTGAAAGTTTCAAAATGATCAGCTTTCGACTGCTGCAATGCAATAATTTCACAAACTTTACTCCACATAAAACTTTTCTCTTGCACAGCGCTGCATTCAAACCGAAGAGCTTCGTATTCATTAAAGAAAATCCCTGGAAAAGCATACTATCAATGAAGCCGAAATGCAAAGATTCCGCGGTTCCGCTCGATAGATTTGCTATACATACAAGTTAACTTGGTACTTTCCCGTTATCCGGACCCATTCTTTTTAAAATGTTATCATGAAATACATGCTTCAGCTTAGAGGTTTTTTTCACTGATTATGTGAGGACTGTCTTCTTGCTACATGTCAAGATAAAAAAGAACACGTTTTGGAGCCATTTCAACATGTTTTTTCACAATCATTGGTGAGACACGAGAGCACTTAAAATGACTTGAAAGCTATTCAGGGGTCTTCTGGGTAAAAAAGCAAAATAGTTTTAAACGTTTATCAAAACATCAGCTTTCAGCAATGATCTAAAGAAATCCTGCTTTTCACATTGTTTCCGCCATGCGAATTTAGCAACAAAAGAATGTAAGTGATGGCTTAGAGTACCTGGCTGCCGATTGTTCCGTCGTTCGTGTAGATGATAGAACAATAGCCTACCTCTCTATTTTGAGAAAAATCTCAGATTGAACTTACATCGATACGTAGCTAAACAAACTCTTGGTAAGACCTGCTAAACACGTAGATGGCATTTGAAATTTTGTTTGACGCTTGGCAGGAGGTTGACTCTCCATCCTATAAAGTTTTTGTCCAATTTGGTGCAAAAAAAGAAGCAATATCCTTTTTCGAAAAATGGGTCCGGATAACGGAAAAGTACCCTTAACTTCTATGCATACAAAAACTTTCTTGACCAAAACAAAGACTGAGTGACTGCGTACAGTGTACAATGAAGAATTTCGTGAAAGATTAGGTACGTAATCGCCATAGATGCGTGTCTCACGACAGAACCATCGATTTACACTCACTGGGGCATAGGAGAGAAGTAGAATTTGACAAAGAAAAGGGTTCATACGAAAGTTGCCCATACAATTTTTAGAAAGCTGAGCAGCATGTGCATGCAAAAAGACCTCTTTCGAACTATTCACCCAAACGAATATTAAAATATGGATTGCACATGAAAAAATATTTTTTAGCTGGTTGAAAATGTGCAACGCAGAAAAGTAGGCAATTTCTAATGTAACGAACTGCTTTTTTTCTCCTGCGGAAAAGGCACTTCAAGATGGAAAGAATGCAGTTGCGATTTTTGACTTGAAGGTGGTATCTTGCAAGGGATGCATGTTTAGTCGAAGTGGCCTTTTTAGCTGAAATGTGTACGATATCGAAAAGCATTCCAAATCTGCTCTCCTTATCTGGGGAAAACATTTGTGGATGAGGAGCTATGAGCAATTACTGAAGCAAAAAAATCAAAAGTGAATTCAGATAAAAGAGCTGTCAAAATCTTACTAGCCCACGTAGAGCAACCAAGTGTGATACATCATTTTGCCTTAAAGTATTTATCAAATAAAATGCTCTGATAATCACCACCGCTCCAACGAAGCGTGAAAATGTTACGACTAATGTGCCTTACTTGCGCATCCAAATTTTTGCTCCGGTAAACGCTTAACTCCTCGTCCGAAAGCGTTCCGCAATTAGGAAAGATATGAAATCAGCGTGGCGTTTTATGCCCTCCAATATGGTATACATTCATTCCAAAGTTCGGAAAAAGTTAAGTGTGGATCAAATAAAGCGATTTTCGGACTAAGGTAATACTTTTAGATTCTCCTAATCTGTTTTATTATAGCTTCAAAAAATTATTTCTTCGGAGGTCTCGCTTTTTGGTAAAGTCAAGAAACACGCAACTGCAGCAAATACATGAAAGCTTTTGAAGGTTCTGGAATTGAAACATGATTCTTGTTAAACATTATTTATGCAACAAGACCAAGTTTGACTTGCTCTGAAAATGCAGCTTTTTGGAATTTTTGGTAAACGTAAACAAGAAGTTGCGGTTTTTATTGAATGAATAATTATAACGGACTTGGTAAACGTAGCCCATGTAATTTATTGGGCACAATATAGCCAAAGGTTTGCTCTACATAACAGTACCAGCGCTCCTTGAAAACATCACGATAAAATTAAAATTCAGAAAAGATTTGCCGTTACTGCTGCGCTGCTCAATAAGCCGCGGCAATAAAACTGCAAAGCAGGCTCAAGCGTGTTGATGCGGTCCGAGACCCTCATTTACGACCCCCCTTGAAGGTACTCATCCGTACGACCCCCTCTCCCCCTTCCTCCATCCTCCATCCTCCCCCATCTATCCCCCTTACCTCCCCTGCCCACATTCCTCGCGGTAACCTGCATAAACGAATGTCAATCTCAAAAAACACCTGCGTGAGAACTTCAGTGAGGTTTCGGAAACAGAATTTCTAAACCAGTGGGTGCGTCCAGCATCTGTAGCACACATACACACCTTCAATAATGTTTGAGAATCTGCAAGTTTTTTTTTTGAATTTTCGGGCATACTTCAGACCGGCAAATTTGATTCCCGTATGCGACACAAATTTTTGCACGGAGAAAAAAATGACATTCTTGAACTACAAAAGATGTTTTCGATTGAAAAGCTTACTTCCTACCTCTTCCACAATTTTTCCCGCGAAAAAAGCCGCTTTATCGCCGTCCAGAATGATGTCAAAAACGTGCATGAGCAAAGTAGTTTGAAAATTTGTAACTAAAGGCAGGAAAAGACTGAGAGGCTGCAAAGCACAGTTTCTGTAGCATAGTGCCCAGACTATCAAAAGAAAAAGTTTCATCCCTTGAGGAGCAGTAAGCTCGAAAAAATTTAGATGCGACTCTCGCAAATTTAGATGCGATCCTAAAAAGCAAAAACTGGGATTTTTGAGCTTAAAATTTTGTAACTTACCAGAGAAGTTATAAAACAGCCTGCAATTTTTATGAGAGAAAGTAGGAGGATGGTCTCATATTACAGCAAAATTGCAGCTAACAAGCTTTAATAGCTCCGGAGAAATTTAGATCAGGCGCAGATACGACCCCCCTTTCCTGATTTTTTGCAACTATACATAAATCATAAGAAAATCCACAGTTTACAAAATAACACCAGATTTCGCACAGTAATAGCAGGACTTATCCAAAGTACACATAAATTGTAAGGGCAGTATAAATGGCATTACAAAAAGATTTACGATTTACTGATTGTCATCGTTGATCTAGATTTGCACTTTTGTCGAGTGTTTGAGACTTCAGTGAGGCTTCGGAAGCAAGATTCCTATGCCAATTAATACATTTCGATTTTTTTTAAATCTTACATCCTTCAAAAGTGTTTTGAGCTCTTGGGAATGTTTTTTTTTGAGAACTTGTAAAAAATTTTTATCCTTAGTATTCTATTCTATATGAACACCATGAGAAAGGTGTTAATATAGCTACTTAGCATCACCTAAAGCTATCAAAAGGTACCGTATCAGAAGTAGTATGTAATTATTTTTGAAAAGTAGATCGAAGGGGGCGTTCAAAATCAAAGATACTTACTTACTTAGATTAGATACTCAAATGGGTTCACGTGGCGTGCTGGTTTCGGCACCTAATTTCCATTTGTCCCTGTCCCTCGCTTCAGACATCCACGATCTTCTTGGTTGCCGTCGGTGACCGCGTTCACGAGTATCAGGTGCGATAATCGTATCCAACTAATTTCTCAGCTTGTCCCTCCACACACACGTCTTCCCATCTCGTTGGTGGTCTTCTTCGGGGACGTTTGGGTTTGCGAGGAATCCACTCAGATGTTCTTAGTGTCCATTGTAGTGTCTGTTCTTCTCATGATGTGACCGGTCCATCGGTGTTTCGTTTGCGCAACGTAATCCGCTGGGTCACGAAGACGGGAAATTCTTCTTAAATCCGTACTGCGAAGTCCGATAAGGTGTTGTTTGTGTCGGCTCACCTTCAGAAGACTGCGCTCAAGCGCTCTGTGGGTGGTCCGTAGAGCTTTCGACGTAGCTTCAGTGTCGGGTCAAGTCTCAGCTGCGTAACAGAGCGCCGAGAACGGTTGAGTTGAACAGGTGGGCACGAAGCTTCGGGCCGTCAGTTGGTCAGTGGCTTCCTTCAAAGGCCCGATTACGGCCCAGGCTGCTCTTCTTCTCCTGTTAAGTTCTTCCTTCAAGTCGTTCTTCATGTTCATCGAACGTCCGAGATACACTTAAGAAGACGTCTCCATGATAGGAGTGCCTTCCAATTCCATTTCTGCATCTTCACAAAGAGCGTTCATCATGAACTGGATCTTCTTCCGATTCATTCGCAATCCGATCTTCTTCCCTACTTCGTTCAGTTCCTTCAGCATCGTCTTTGCTTTAGTGATACTGCTTGAGAAGAGAACGATGTCGTCCGCAAAACGAAGGTTGGACAAGAATCTCCCATCAACTCGTATGCCTCTCTCGCCCCAATCCAGTGACTTCATCACCGCTGCAAGGCCGCGGTGAACAGCTTCGGCAAAATAGTGTCGCCTCGTCGAACCCTCTTCCCAATCGGAATGGTCAGGGGGCGATGGAATAGCTGCATCGTTATTGTACACTCCTTGTAGCAGTCGGCTAGTGTCCTCACATAAGCTGGGTCCACTCCTTGATCGACTAGCGCAGACAGGATGGCGTTGGTTTCGAGGCTGTCTAAAACTTTCTCTTATTCGACGAAGGTTAGACGAGAGGCAGTCGGTACTCCCGGCAGACTTCTATGACCCTCAAAACCGTCTGGATGTGCTCCATGCAGCTGAATCCTTCGCGAAATCCAGCTTGTTCTTGGGGCTGAGCTTCATCCAGTGTCCTAGATATGCGACCGTGGATAATTCTCGTGAAAAGTTTGTACAGCTCACTCAGCAGGCATATTAGACGGTAGTTCCGAAGATCCTCTCGCGCGCTCTTGTTAAAGAGAAGGACTGTTCTTGACGTTCTCCACTGGTCGTCTACACAAATTTCTCGCGTCGCACCTGACATCTTGCCTTCTGAAGGCAAGATGTCAGGTGCGACGCGAGAAATTTGTGTAGACGTTGCCCCCCGACTCGCAGAAATTCGACGGAAAGATGATCTGGTCCTGAAGCCGTGGACGTCCTCATGGTCTGTATCGCAGTACGCACTTCAGCATGTAGAATTCTTGGTGGTACTTCTCAAGCGGGAACAACGGCCATCGGCACGGGTGTTGATGAGCGGAAGAGGTTGGTGTAGAAGTTTTTTGCGATAGATTCCATCTTATATCGGGAAGTGGGAGTCCCGTCTTCGTTCAATAGTGCAGTCAGCGGTACATGATATTCGCAGAGGTCCCTTCGGCGCTTCTTGATACTTCGTCTTTCTTCGGCTGCTTCCAGTATCTTGGCTTGCCTGTACTTTCTGAAATCCTCCTGCATAGCTGTTCTGCAACTGGCGTTGGCTATCAGTCGCTCGAGATGGGCTGCATTCGGTTCCTGCCTCAGAAATCTTCTTCTTTCGAGCAATTCCTTGGTGGTCTTCGAAATACGTTCCAAGTTCTTCTCAGAGGTCACAGAGGCACATTCTCCGCAGGCTCGCAATCCTTTCAGAAGCCGGTCGTAGTCGTACGTTGGGTCCTACTCGATGGGCCAGTCACATCTTGATATGAGCTCCTCAGCCTGTTACCGTCATAAACGACTTCCTTTCTTCTTGTGGCAGTGGACAGACTTTCTTCTCCAGCTTTCGACTGAATCGTATCTTCGCTCGAAGCAGGCTGTTATCGGAGCCACTGCAGAAGGATGGAGTTACTGAGACATCGAGCAAGCTTCACTTCGGTTGGTGAGAATGTAGTCGATCTTCGCATGAGTCTTCCGTTGGGCCATTCCCAAGTCCACCGGCGATGTTCTTTCTTCATTAAGATGGAATTTCCATGGATTAGTCGTGCGGCGGAGAGAAGCCCAACGAGACGGTTGCCCTTTTCGTTTCCGAGCCCATATCCACTTCCCGATCCTATTTTGTTTTCTAGTGGCATCCCGATTTTCGCATTGAAGTCGCCACAACGAACTTGTAGAAGGACTCTTCGTTGTGGACGACCTGCTCTATGTCTTCGAAGAAATCATCTAGTTTTGGATCGTCAGCTGCTGATGTTGGTGAGTAGCAGTTGGTGTTGCTGATGGTCTTCTGACTTGGAGGTCGTAGTCGTAAGATCAAATTCAAAGAAAGGAACTATAACTTCCACTAAGGCAGAGAGTACTCTAAAATTCATGAGATTTCTTTCTGTAAAGCTTCAGAGGCAAAAAGATTGCGCAACACTGATTGCATCTATTTTCAGAAAACAAACGTGTTCAAAAAAGAATAACGCTTCATTCGGAAGAAGAGAATGATCCTTGTTTTCATTGATATTCACGAGGGAATAGTCAGAATATAACTCAAACTAGCCATTCCAAACAAGCCGTATATTAGCAATCGACCGAGACCCTGATTTGCAATATGTTTATCATTTACAGCGTTTATTTATAAGGAATCATGAGCGTTCAAAAGTGCGGATTTTTCAAGTAATCTGTGACGCATATTCCCCGGAAGAATTTATAACTTATCTTGATCTTGATTTATAGTGAATGCGCTTCTTCCCCATAATGTTAGTAGCTTCTAAAAGAACTTTATTTATTGAGACTCAAATACCTTCCAGAAGTCACATGGCAGATAATAATCCGCTCTCCAAGACGACTACCGTGACATACAGCTTAGGTTTAGGATGATTTGGTGGAGCTTTCACTGCCTCGTCAAAAGTGCACAAGTGTTTGACATCAATAACTATAAAACCGCTCATAACTTGCAAATAAAAAGACCACGGAAGTTTGCTCGAAACTTTAGTCTTTTCATATTTTGGTTTTCAGGATGAATGAAATAAAAAAAAACAAGGCACTATTCAACTCAGCTCGATGCAGTGCATGGTTTAATGCATTAAATTGCAATAGCCTGTCGAGGTAGTCTAATCGTAGTAGTCACGTTTCACACTTTTTCTTTCTTAAATGGAGCAGTATGCATATTACGACATTGAATCCGTTTGCTGACGATATCCCATTGCAAAGAGACGGAAAGACCAAGGTAAGGAAGTGGCTTACATTTCAAAAAAAATTTCAAAATTTTCAAAAATTGCCTAAAGATGTGCTGTTACAATACATATTTGCTGCCGTCGGCACGGTGCGAAAACGGTGGGAGTACGGCGTAACGGTGCGCATAATGCTTGATTTCGCTTGGTCTATTCAAAAATAGTAATATCGTTGCAATGCCTATATGAGAATGCGATTGATATTGATGTATATTATCATATTTCTATTTAAAACCCTTCTACGTGACGATGTAAACGACGTTTCGAACATTGTAGGACAACATGAAGGTTTTCCAAGTAACTTTCAACACAATTGTGCCCACTACCCCTCTCTGCAGAAAAAAACCTTCCAAACTTCTTTTATTGGAGAGAGAGAGACAGTTAGGTGAATCCTAGAAAATGCGAGGTCTACCAACCGCTTCTTTTGCATCACTTTACAAGCATCGTAGAAAGCAAATTTAACCTAGTTATCACGCTTCGCATGCCATAATACCAGTTTTATTTCAATCAGATATATTCAGTAACTTTTCAAGATGCTCGTTGAGGGATAACTCAAAGCTTTTGTGGTCAAACTCGCATAAATAAGCTAAAAATTAGAGTTAGCTTACTTAGCTTACTGCGTCTTCGATAACCTATAACTTTTACTGCCATAACCCGATTACAACTGAGCGCAGCATAGCACCAATAAGTTCATAGATAATTCCTTAGAATAACACTGGCATGGGAATTTTTATACGAGTAGAAGTGAGCGATGCTAAATGTGAGGCAAGGTAGGTGCGAGTCTTAGTCGCGAAGGATTAGCATATTATCGCACCTTTGCTTACACTTTTGATAAGGCAACTTGGTGATGGGTCTTGAAAAGCGATTTGTACGAAGCATATCTTTCGCATAGAAAGTTGATACAAACACTAGGAAAGAAATTTCGCCATTATTGCCTTCATTGCCAACAAACTCTGTATAATTAGATTTTCTTTGATTTCAAAATCCTACAAGTTCAATGGATAGAAATGAGCAGGAAGTTTCCTGAACTGTATAAGCTGGTTACTTTCGTTGTGTTCTTTGCACGGATACATTTAATTAAAGCAAAATATGTACGTTTTTGCAGAAGTCCAAATATTTTACCAGCCAGCTGAGATCACAAATGTGCTCAATATGTTTAACGAATGAGCATTTGGAGCAGGTTTTATATAAGGTAGTATACATGCCATAGTTCATATATTAGATTCATATGAAGGCCACCTCCAAGTCTACCAGTAACATATCTTTATCGTGCAGGTAGAAGCAATCATTTTGAAGAAGGTCAAATTACAGTGTTTATTAATGGTTTAGTTCCATGCCATTTATTCACCTGCTCAATTTTATTTTTGCTTTTTTGTTGTCCGGACTCATTTTTCTCTTCAAGCTTCTGTATCTCCTCGAACTCGCTTGTGACTGGCAGGAAAATATAATTTTTCCTCGCTTTCCAGTGGAGGCCGAGAACGCTAATGCACGCTGAAGCTTTGTTTGATCGTCGTTGATGACGTTGTACTGAATTGTCAAGAATGAGTAAAAATAAAGACAAAATTTACTTATGCTTATAATCACTGCTTTTCTCCATGTCATCCCTACGCGACCAGCAGTCGACTCAGGACCGCGACGCTTAGTTATTGTGTATATCCTGAATTCAAATTTGTCTCAGACTTTTGTGCAAAGGGATAGGAAAAATAGAAAACTAACATGTGTAATGATCACATGTGGTTACATTAACCCCTTGAGCTTTCTATGAATCTCTTGCATGACTGGATTCCCGCCTTTTTCAGACTTTATTTTAATTTTGGAATTTTCAAGACACTTTTTTCTGATGCCGTCTGTTACATGACCATCGCTCCATATGGTCGATGCTAATATTTACTAGCGTGCTACATTTGCAATGCAGTGTAAGACAGATTTTGCGTTTGATTGTATGTCAAAAAGTTTTGAAAAGTTGCAAAGGCACTGCCCGATGTCTCCATACTGCGCAAGGAAGGAACATTATTTCATGCCTACTTAAGCCAAAAATTGAGAAGTCAAACTGGGATCTAACTTACTTAAGCAATCCATCGGGGGTCTTGAAGTTAAAGCTTCTTCATTTTTAAGTGTTCGCATTCGTATTAGGTTAGTGCAAAAGTAATAAGCGAATTGCTAATTCTCATTTTGACGTGCTGTAAGTTTATGATATTTTACATTTCCAATGCGATAAAGACTGTTGAGAGGCAGCAAACCTTTCGCAATACAGCGCTCATACTCAAATCAAAAACGGACAGAAAACATGGATTAATAAACATGAAACCTCATTTCCAACAAGTCGTAATCCCTTTGAACTTTGTTAGTATAAATGAAAAATAGCCTACCTTGTAGCAGCAAAGCAGCAGATAATTTCTGGGAATATGTCAAAGTGTGCATGATGGTGACAATTTCTATTACGTACAGCAACTGATTTCAAAAGAATGCCATCATTCGTACTTGATTTCTGGCCAAGTAAAAGCAATGGAATTCTGTTGCGGTTGCCTGAGGTTCTCTGAATATTTTACAAATGAGGCTACAAGTCCGTTTTAACCATCATCAGATACATAAAAAGAGCTTTTCAAAAAAGAAATTTCGATGGAAAAAAGTTGCTTTGAAACAAGGTCTAGAAAAGCGCTCATTACTTTCGCACCAAACCTAATACATTTCGAAGAGTCTGTAAGGGCTAGTAGGGATGTCAAGGACTCTTTTGCAAACACAAGATTTTTTTCCGTTCCTATAGTACAAAGAAAAGAGAACGGTTTTGTTTGTTTGAACAAAACACACCGGCTACTCGCACCTTTTATAGTACACTTCCGCGTTGCTGATGAGTTCTGCTTTGTTCATTCTGTGTATCTTAGTACGGAGTATTGTATGGTTTGTATGGTCCCTCTTCTAAGCTCATCATTTATAGTAACTTCCCAATAACTACCCTACTTTTCCAGACAACCAACTCTTCTGGAAATTCGCTCGGTCCGCCTAATCGTTTACGAAGATTTAGGCGCAACAATTGCGACGCCAGTCTGATTTCAGCGCTGAAAGAATTTAGCATGCAAATAGGGGCGTTTTCATCCTTTACCCATTGTCCTTCACCTACTTTCGTTCGCCGCTATTCTCTCAATCAACAAGTATCATGTCTCATTTCTCTACCGTCATACGATGAATTCCGGAAGCTAAACAAGATATCTAAACCTCTCCTAAGTAGATTTTCTGCTTGGTATCAGTCGATTACCGTAACTCCCAGTTGCCACATATCGAGCAGAAGACAAGTGATTTGATGCATATGATATTATTCTTGCACCGCATATCTTTCTTTCTTTTATTTTATTCTTGCACCACACTGCTTTCTTTCTTTTATTTTCTCCTAAGTTCTCAACTTAATGAATAGAAATTTTTCCTTTCTCATTTCGTAAGTTATACGGCTAGGTTATCTTCTAGATGGTCATGAATTTTCAGATGTGCATGCCGTAAAAACTTCGATTTATGACCATTCTGGGTGGAATAGCACCAATATGCAATACGGCGTTCTTTTCCTTTTACAATGATTTCTCTACCGAAAAAAAGACTCAGAAGAACGATAGAGTCCTAAGTATAAGTAATATATAATATATGCATGCAGAGAATGAGCTTTTTTGGAAGGGGAAAGCGTTTCCTGATAATTTTCCGAGCTCTATATACAGTGCAACTTATGCACCTCTCTTCATTGTATTTTCCTCATTGCAATAAGAAGTCGTCTTCTTTTTTCTCTAGGAATGGTACTTTGCTGATTTTTCTCCCCTTTTTTGTCCAAAAAATAAAAAGCTACAGTTAGTATTAGGTTGATGCATAATTCCTGCACCAAAATAGGTACAGACCGCAATAACTCGGAATAATCCTATATCTCAAGTAGGATTCGATATATCATTTGATAGCGCAAACCTAGCTCTACAAGATATTGCTCAAATATCTACACCAGCTTTGATCCACGCGAAGTTTTGAGCCAAAAACTGAAAAAAACCATGCGTCCGAAAACCTTAAGACAGATCTTAAAAAAATTGTAACTTCGTTCAAAAAGCTTATACAAATTTTCTTTCTTGCTCACGCATAGACGTTCCACGTAAGACATTTATTTATGCGGTTGCTGTGTTTTTTTCGCAACTAGACGATGAGAAAACGAAGTTTTTCATGTTTTTTCCAAAACAATGCTGAGATGTTCTAGCACTGATAGTTGTAAATTATAGGACCTTAGAAGCGTGAATGTGAATTTTCAGCTCTTTAGAGCAGCTGGTTTACGAGAAATATCGGATTTTTAGCAACTAGGCAAGAAAAATTTAGATAGGGAGAGCTAGATTCGTTATTTCTCGCGAACTAGCAGTTCTAGAAGGCTGAAAATGTAAAGTTTCACTGCTAACGGCATGTACTATACAACTGTTAATACTAGAACATCTCAGCACTAATTTGGCAAAAACATGATAAACTTCAAAAAACTTCGTTTTTTCATCGCCTAGTTGAGAAAAAAATACAGCAACCGCATAGATAAATGTCTTACATGGAATGTCTACGCGTGAGCAAGAAAGAAAATTTGTATGAGCTTTTTGAACGATGTTACAATTTTTTAAAGATCTTTCTTAAGGTTTTCGGACGCATGGTTTTTTTCAGTTTTTGGCTCAAAACTTCGCGTGGATCAAAGCTGGTGTAGATATTTAAGCACTGTCTTGTAGAGCTAGGTTTGCGCTATCAAATGATATATCGAATCCTACTTGGGATATAGGATTACTCCGAGTTATTGCGGTCTTTACCTATTTTGGTGCAGGAATTATGCATCAACCTAATAGTTCATCAACTTACACTGTCCTGTCTCGACTAATCACTCAGACTGGGCATTTTTTTCCATATACTAGACGTGGGTAAATTAGGATTAGCAAGAGCAAAAATGTCATGTTTATATGAAGCAGTTGTTCTTTCATAAAGTAATTGGTATTATTAGGAAAGACCAATAAAAATTGGATACATTTTTTAATAAAATACTGATACGAACTTTTCAAGCTTACTATTTTTGCTATCCATTTTTCTTCTAAAGAGAACAACAACGATGTCAGCTTTAGAATCGAATCCCACAAACCTACATTGTACTTCTAGTGGTTGTGATTCACTCATTATTGAATCTGTCTTATTTCAGTGGGTTTCGCAATTTAAAGCACTGAGGAAGCCCCAGAAGAAATTTTATCGTAACTTTTGCTAAGTTTGTATAAGACCCTCCAGCAATTAGCCCAGATCTGACCATACAGGTGTGTAATAGCCTAGTACACATTCGATTGTATCTAAATCAAATCGAATGCGGAGCGCATCGTAAAGAGGCTTGAAGATGTTGGAACTTCAAACTTTTTTCTACTTTCTGCTTGTGTTTTCATCTTTACTAGATGTGTACTTGATGCGCAAAGGTTATGATGTGGTTTGACTGGGTTTCGTAAAATTTGCTATACGTCAATGCGACTATGTAATATGTCTAAGTATAGTTCCAAGCATGAAAATGTAAATCTACTAGTAAACAAAATTTTTGAGCAAGATGCTCACCCTATTTTTTGTGCCTCAGTGAATATTCAGAGCAACGATGAGTCAAGGTTACTTTTGAAGTTTGGCTAGTTTGTCCTGAAAGAATAGAAAAGGTTTTAATGACTTTGTTTTGGAATTGTTCTGAAATGAAATATGATATATGATCTGCTCTGCTTGAAGACCCATGCATGGTGGAAGTTATAAATTTTGATTTACAATTTTGATTTTTTCTATCCCTCAAGAACTAGTAAATGGTGGCCCATGAAGTGTTCGTACTAGCATGGCTACAACATTTAGATTGCTCCAGATACGCATAAATCACATAATCCAGTGAAGAAAGCGAAAAAATGTTTTCAAGCCATTTATCTTATTTGCGGCTCTTCAATTTCGAGGACCTATAACAAACAAAATTCAAATCCAATTTGCTTTTACATCCGAAATTCGATGCAACTAATCAGGTTGCGCCACACTTCCTTGTAAACAAATGTACATTTTTTTACAGGAGAAAGCTGTATGAGGGTTTTTGAGAGTATATTTGTGTAGTAATTAGTACACGTTGCTATTTTTGCATTTTGCACTATATTGTACGATTTACATCGTTAGACCCAAACGTACTGTGTGTTTCAGAAGTATTTCTTTGCATACTATTTTATAGTACGGTAATTCCAAGCTTTGTGCTGTGCAGAATTCCGAAGACACATATTTCAACCGTTTCACTGGTAAGCTTTTAGTTCATGAGAACTCAAGAAACCTAGCTCAGATCTTCACTACAAGCCTGCCCTAATGCTAATCAGGTTAGGTTGCTGCAGCACAGAAGCAAGCTGCCACTCAGCGGTAGGATCGTTTTGAGCGCTTATTCATTCAAATGATCTTACCTGGTAACAAGGCCATACTCTCACTAGCTTGCCATTATAAAATTGTTGTTTCACTGTTTCAAGCCACATCTGGAGGACTACATTGCTGAATTCTCCACTAAAATTCCTTAACGTGCTATATCTGGGCAGATATCACTAAAAATGGTCTAATGGTTCTTTTTCCGATTTGCAAAGCGCCCTCAAAATGTAGTCTCGTTATCCTCGAAGGAATGAGCATTATTCTTCAATCTTTATTCTTACTCGTCAGTTAACTACGCAAATACCGTAATGATTCTATCCACGGCTTCAAGAATCCAGTAGTAAGAGTGCATATAAATTGCCAGATTTCCATTGTTGAGGGTCCTTCGATTCTTTTTGCCAGATAGGAGTGAGTTTGAGTATGGGCATTACTCGACGAAAATTACTTAAGCAGCAGTCTCCCTTTCGAATGCTTATTTCTGGTGGCTTATTCAGCCCCACTTCACATTTGTTTTCATTGCACCATCAAATCAAATAAGAAATTCTTTCTCACAAACCTTGAAATTTATCTTCATTGAAAACAGGTCATATTTCTGGTTGCTCGTGTCTTCAGACTTATTTGGAGAATTTTTTTTGAAATTAGAATGCACCACAATTTAGGAAGAGCTGATTTTTTATCAGCTACCAAAGGGTGCTAAACCAATGTGGCTGCTAATATTTAGCACTGCATTTGTGGTAAACGCTCAGATAAACAAAAAGGTTTGCTTCGGCTAGAAACTCTTTGGATAAGTGATTTTCAATAATAATTTAGGACCTTCCAGTACAATTCTGTGAAGCTTTCGTGCAATGCTCGGCAGTGGCACTACTAGAGGAACGATTATGCTTAGGTTAACCGAATGTCTCTCATTTTAAGCTTATGACTAGACTAAATTATATTCAGGAAATTCGGTGCTGCGGCCTTACTGGTTACCAAGTCCTCATGACAGAAACAATTGTCACGAAAAATTACGCAATGACTACACGAAGGTGAGAAGATAAAAGTAAAAAGTAAGAACTACAATTTTTGAACATTCAATTTAGCTAGACAAGATGGAAGAACAGCTAGAAAGATTATTACTCGACTGTCTGCTAAAGCATACAGTTCCATTTACACCTGTACAGGTTTGTCATATCAAGCGACATTTTCATATATTTTTTAATGAACACTTCCAGGGCTTGCTGTTTGTGAAATACCGTTTTATTCACACTATAAAGTTTATGATGAAAATATGAATAGAAATAGACAGCAAATGCTGTTTGTTTTTTTCATATTATTAGGGTGTCTTATAATTTTTTTACCATTTTTACTACAATCGTCGACTTTTTGTATCTTTCTTTCATCTCATGTGGCTTGAGTAATCATTCGACAGGGCAAAGCAAGCTCTACAAGATGGCTATCAAAAGTCTGCTTATGTCGTAACCCACGTGAAGTTTTAAGCTGAAATCTGATAGTAGTCAAAAACGAACTTTTCCTTCAAAAATCTTATCTCCGCCCCAAAACAGCAAAAAAATTCCCCCTTTATCCTAGCTTATCCTTGACACATCGCACATTTAACTGTAAACTCTACAATTTTTTCCACGGCTAGAAATAAAGAAAAAATGAATGAGGTGAAATGGCAAACTCCGCCCCTAGACATCCTGAGCTCCTCCCACATGTGATCATATGGCTCATACCAGAAGTACGATCATGTATTTGTATCCTTTATAGGTGCCCCATCTATCAAGAAACGTGTTGAAACATGTTTAAGGTAGAAATGGTAAAAAATCATGACACACCCTAACAGAAAAAATAATAATAAAATGCTATGTCATTGAAAACTTTATGCTATCTAATTCCATTTCTCCTATAAATGGAGTACGCGCGGGACTTTGAATTGGATTTGAAACTTGATTTCTTGCGGAAAAATTTTTTTCTTGCAGAGTAGTCAATGTCATTCAAGAGCAATACGATCAGCGCCGAGATTTTCATACGAACGCAGTATCAACTATGTTCCCACCCAGTGCTTTACGGGAGTCGAAAGAAGAAGGAACCGAGAGTGTGGACTAGTACGAAGTTGTTGTCCTGCAATATCGAGGTGAGCGCCAAAGTTTGCTTTCATCCACTATTTTTTCAATAATTGACCATAAATGCAGTACACGCGAGCGATCTACCCAATCGCTTCTTACTCTGTTTTCTCCCTAATAACCTCATTTTCACCACTGCGCTCTCTTCAATCAACCTGCGATCATTTTCGTTTTGCTTGCTGACCTCATTTAGAAAAGGTCTTTACGCGCGCGGTGACACAACGAGAAGAGCGACTTTTAGGGTGGGGATCAAATGATCCCGCTTATTATCCATGAAAAAAGGAAGTCCGATTTCATAATTTTAGCAGTTCCCGATTTAACCGCCGTAAATTTTGCTTTCCAAATGACAAACATCGAAAAATAAGGAATCCAAAAATTAGCGCCTTTGAAAAAATTACCATATTCGCTTTCAGGATAAGATACTGTCCTTCTATACTAAAAAGCAATTTTTGGGTGTTAGTGTATAGTTTTCCGTAATAATGCCATAATCTAGATGTTTGAATACTATCGGTCCTGGCGAAACTCTCCTTTTCTATGGGATATCTACTTAATACTTTCCTACTCTTGTTGAACTATAACAATCCTCTACTATTTCATTTGCTAGCCTTTCTTTCAAGATTGAGATCTTCAATTTTCAGAATAATGTGCATATCAAAAAATTCGAATAGAATATCAGCTTTAGCTAATTTAGTTGGTGTTATGAGAACTATATTAACATGATGGTTTCGAGCAAATTACTACCACTCCAGTGGGCGTATTCATCATTGATGCCTTGAGGTAAATTCTACTTCCAGGTAGATTTATCACTCATTATCAACAAAATTAATTGTTTACCTCAAGGTACTTTTGTGAATACGAGTACTTGCTGATAATGAATGATAAAACTACTTAGAGGTAGAATTTGCCTCAAAGTATCAATGATGAATACGGCCACAGGTTTCCATAGTTAGCCCAGACAAAAAGGCTTGGTAGTTTTTAATCCCTGCAAAAAGTCAAATTAAGAAGCGTTAACTTATGACATGAAAGAAGGAACTACTTAGAAGCACAAAAAAAAGATTCAAGACACCCACAACCGATTTTTCATACTAACTTTTCATACTTAAAATTGCCTCGGAACAGCTGTAGAACATGACCAACACTACAAACACAAGAGTGTAAAAAGCCCAAAGTGATATCCCTAGACACTACTTTTTGATGCTCAGTCTTCTTACAAACACGTATCTCTAGTAGGTACACGTACTTTTACAACATCCACCAACTGACGGAGAATTGATTTCAAACAGAGAATATCGAGTCTCAGTGGAATCCGAATAAAAACCTTGAAGATAAATCATCTTTTCAAAACTCAGGTCCATGCTTTGCACAATGGGCTGGGATTTTCTATTTAGTAGAATATTGGGTTCATTGTTGGTTTGCGTATCTCTCATAAATAAAATGCGAAAAGCATAGATTACTATTGATAGGGATTACGATGGAAGAAATGATGTAGTTTGAATGACATGACGATAATCGCATCACATCTTAACACATTGAAGACCGCGTGACATACATGATTTGTCATGACTTGAATTTCGTTGAAATAGCAGCTATCTAGAGATAGGCTTCTAAAAAATTTTTTAGCATTGGACTTAGAAATCGCTTCCGTGTTTTGCTACTCCTAGAGCTACTAAGGCACAGTGTGGATGACAGTCCGCGAGATTTTGCCTCTAAAATATTGACTACTTCGTGAAAGGCTTGATCTCAGAAGGCAGAAAACTCTTCTCAAACTTTTTGATTTCTGGAGATCTTCAGCCTGACGTTTGGCCACTTGTGAAAGACTATTGATCTTTGCTCAGCAGTCAGAGCGATGAGGCGAATTAATTTGGAAGTGAACAAATCAAGCGGTTACCCTTCTTGCGCACCTTTGCTTTTCGCGCAAGTTGCGCTATCGCATGAATCTTCGCACGTTTCCATGACTCATTTGATCGCGGTGGCGTGTCTCATATTATTCCATTGGCCGCTATCCTCCTAAAGATCTCTTCCGAAGTAATGGTAAGTGCGAGTGTTTGTCTTGCCTTCTGAGTCATCATGCTTACGTAGACGATTACCTGGAGACTGTGAAGTGGGTCTGGTAGACTAAAGTGTTCCACTGAAATCATATCATGTTTGTCAAAAATTTTGTTTATCAAGCGCACGTCCACTCAAAGAGACATGGAAGCAACAACCCTTTTGAATACACGATCCTAGATCCAAGAAAAGGTTTTTAAATTCTTACAGTCTCAGTACTAGGTTGGCTAAAAAATGAGTTTGTTTTGGCATGCAAATCTTCATCGAAAAAATTTTCTTGTTGTTTTTTATCCGTGATTTTTTGTGGGAAAGTATTTCAAAGCTTCCTCTATCACATATCAAATATTTAGGGTTTTGTATCGTCAGTAAATACAGTCATGCCTCAACATGACGAAATTTTCAAAAGCTCAATTTTTTGGCTTCCTAAGCTCGTTTCCATGCCGTAACGGATGTAGAGAGCAGCACTTCGGTATTTGGATGCAGAGGAATTTTTCCTATTTAGTCAGTGACAATAAAAACTGTGATCTGGCACTTTGAAAATCTTTTATCAAGGAAAACCGAATTTTTTCATATTTGCGCACTACAAGAAAATTGGGATTTCTCACTTCTTCGGCATTTTTTCTCATTTGGAAGATAAGTTCTACTCAAACAAAATTTATACCCAACTTCCATTAGAGTGCTCTTTCCAGGTATACCAGAGACTGGACAAAAATTTGTCTGCAGCATTTGTAAGAGCCGCAAGAGCGACCAAACTTATTTATTAGCCAACCTAATAATGTAAAGAGCGTTTCTTGCTGGCAAGGATCATAGGGGCAGGGGCATCGATACTTCTCCATACTTCTATGCAGGCACATTATATGTAACTCTATACTTGTTATGCAAGCTTTCTACACTATTACTAGCGTATGTATGGAAATGAAAACGGATTGAAAATTAAAAATTTTCTTTTGAAAAATTTAGCGTAGTTTCGAAAAGTCAACGATTTTTTTAGCATGTTAACACTAAGCTTCTAGTTTTTCCAAACATTGCGATTCTAGCAAACATACACCTTATCAGTTTGAGGCTTGCTCTTACGCGCTCTTCGCTCTCTCTCCGCTTTTTTCAAGTGCTTCTACCACAGATTCAAATAGATCCGCTACGTTTTTCGAACTGCTGCTTTCTGCGGGACAAGTAGGCTGGCTCGGCAAATCTCGGTATAGTTACTGTGGAAAATGGGTCAGTCGTCGGCGATTCCTATCTCAACTCTGTCTCAATTAACCACTCGCCTTATGTTTCTGTCAACTTTCTCACAAAGCTGTTTCGACAGTGATGACGAGTGAGGAAATTATGCGCATGTGGGAAAATCTCAAACACGACTGAATCATATTTTTGAATTTTCCGCAAACTTTTGTACTCTAATGTGATCTATCAATAAAAAAATTTTCTTATCTACGAAAAAAGAAATGAGACTATGGTCACAATACTTGTGATACGGTCAAGAGGAATTGAAACACAAGAAGCATCAAGACTTTATCCTCACTACTGGGGTAGTTAGACGTGTTGTCGCTGGGTTTATGAGCTTTTAAAAAATGTATTTGAGGGCAGCCTCCATCCAAAACTTTACCTTCCATGTTTTTTGTCATGAGGCTTTTCCGTGGCCTTGATTACGGTTACAAAGCTCCGAAGCAGAACCCTTCCCCAAAAATACCGATTTCTGAGAACCCTATCCTGAAGGCACATGCGACTTTCCGTACCTGAGTGGGCGGAGCTTGACCGAGTGGGCGTGGTTTGGTAACACTTTTGTAGGTTCCAGGTCTGTTATCTCTAGTACAACATTGGAGAACTTGACCAAGCAGATATCCCTTCTTGGGGCCTACATTCAGGCTAGATATTAATAGTGGTCTCAGGTTTTGCTCGGACAAAGCATTTGAAGCTCGTAGTTAAAGGTAACCACGGATTGATAAGTCAGAAAATATTTTGTCGTCTATGGACATCATGTATCACCCTATTGACCAAAATAAAATTGTTTGACTACTCATAAATAAACCCATGTTTTCATAAATTTGTAATCAATTTAGATGCTCTACAATCCCAACGCAATCCCAGCTAGCCAAATCCATAGATGAGACACGAATAAATTTGAGGAAAAGAGCCAAAGATTGCGAGGTTTTCAAATTTTTTTATCTAAAATGAACTCACATGCTATGTGATATTTCTCAGCAAGGCCTACGAATTGAAAAGATCGACCCTTCTATCGGGATCTTTGCTAGAAGCAGTGAAAACTCGGATGAACCAAGTGGCCATATCATTGTGAATTTCGATACGTTAGACTCAAAGAAAAAGGCCGATAACGAGAACAAAAGTGGTGAGAAATTAAATAGATATTGTAAAATAAGAACTCTGCAGAAATGTGTAGATTTAGGAAAAGTGAAGGTAAACTTTACGAATGGAGGAAGGCATGGCACATTCTCCCAAGGGGAAGCCAGTGTAGTAGAGGCAAAGACTAAGATAATAGTAAATGAAGCAGATGAAGTAGTTGGTCGAGTAAGCGCTCCAGTACGAGACGAAAATAATGCTGAGAAGGTATGCCCACTAGTTTAGCGAGCTCTGATCATGCCAAGTTTTTCTTCTCATTGCCAACTTCATACTTGAAGGTGAACTTCCCACAAAATTCCAACCGTGCAAGCGAGTTGAGGGAAAACGATGGATCACTGACGATTTCGGGAAAACCTCAATTGTTGTTCCCTTCTGACAACGACGACAAGATGGTACGACATCGATCAAGAAATAAATCTATAAATGGTCTTGATACAGTGAAAAACAACTGCAAGTAAAGTATTAGGCTGATCGGAAAATAATGGGACACCTAAAGAATAGACGTGGTTTTCTTTGACAGAAAGATGCCTAAGTTTTGGGAGTAGTACGTGTCAATATCTTCTGATCGAGGCCTATAGGTAGGCCATGGCGTCGTATTTATAACTGCTCAAAATCTAAGCTCGTCACTTCAAGAATTTCGAACTTGAAGCAGTAACGCCGCAATAAAACAAGTCTGCAATGGGTTACGGGAGTGTCATCCACGGTAGTGTGACGGTCCCAAGCAACAGAAAATATAGCCTCGATTACTACATGACCTATTATTTATTCTCTCATCGAGGTGGAATCGAATGGGCTCACCTTTGACGAATGGCATCTGATAGAGCTGTTTGTGCTCCATCACGTACCTTTCAAAAAATTGTAGGCCAAACACGCTTTCTAGCCTAAAAATTTGCGCCATATATTGCACTTTTACGGAAAATCTGCCTCTTTATTATGAAATGATGAAGAATTTTTACACGTTCAAGCACATTAGAACGAGCTAGAAAGCACTTTTGAAAGGTATGTCGTATGCCCAAGGACTTCAAGATACTGCAGTACAGATTTGAATGGCGTTCAAGAAAAGTCTGTCCGCCTTTTTTGGAGCGCAGCGCGAAGGACTACAGGATATAAGCTGCAAATTGCTGGGATAGAGGAACGAACACCTCAATTAGGCATCGCCTCCGCGTGCTGCTGGTCCATTGGTCCTACTGTTGTGCATCGTGTTAGGACCAGTAGTCCCCGAAAGCGGTGCACATTTGAGGGGGTAGGGGAACGAAAGCCGCCAGTTTGAGCCGCCTTTCGCGGCTAACTGGTCCTTTCGCAACGTTGTTGCATGTCGTCCCAGGACCAGCAGTCCGCGCAGGCGACCGAAGCTGGCGGCTTTCGTTCCCCTACCCCATTTAAGGTGTTCGTTCCTCCACCCAAGTTACTACCGGGGTAACATGCGAAGATCACTCTATACAAATATGTCTTTACTGCTGTTTGTTTATTGTTTATCAGAGAAAATAATCGAAATTGCAAAAAAAACTCGGTGTCTCATTGCTTCCCGATCATCCTAATATAAAAGTGGCAGAAAGTGGGGGTTATCCTGATACTATGAACAAATTCTTTCATGTCAAAAGACGAAAAATTAGGCAAAGAATACGGTTTTTGGCGAAAGTCCTCAGTGGGAAAGGAGAACGTATCTTCTAAGAAGTTTTTAGTAAAAAAAAACCGGACAATTTTGACCAAATTCTCGTTTTTTACAAGGAAAGTCTATTCAGTCGAAGCGACCTTTCAAAATTAGTCCTATCAGGGTTCGACACGACCTGGCACCGGAAAAATTTCAAAATGAAGTCTCCTTCGATTTTGAAAATTTCGTACGCCTTCCCTAGATCCTAAATGTAAGAAACCCCCCAAAAAACTGACGTCGGCTAAAAAAGACGTCGCAATTTTTGTGTCTTTTCAGCTACAAAAACGACATTTCCTTGCTTTTCGTCCCAAAAACGATAAGCAGCTTAACCCGATGCCACTGTCCCGAGCCCTGAGTCCTATACTGCTTTGAAGAGTATCGAATGCTGATTCCAAATGTATTTTCATATTCTGCCAAGCGCCTCTGTACTCCGAGTTTTGAGCAATTGTTAATTGCTAAATTTGATGCGCAACTACGGCAAAATTGTTCAAAGGTGCTCAAATTTTTCCAGTGTAAAAATTATCAGAGCACTGCATTCTAGGATATTTTCTGTCTAATACATTCATACTCTCAACATTGCTCTATTTAAGCGCTGAAAAGTCTTTAATCAACTATACCTAGACTTTGCATTCGTTTTTATCTTCAGAAAACACTCAACTCGGCGTTCAGAGGGGCTTGGCAGATAATGGAAATAGACTTGAAATCAGCGTTCAATGTTTTCAAAAGCAGTCATGACCAGGGTCAAGCGAGGGGTGCGGCACGCCACACCTGGGGGGATCGTATTGAGGAGTCAAAAGGGGAGGGGGTCGTAGTTGGGTAATCTGATAATAGTGATAACATGATATTCGTATCATATCCATAGTTAGCATGTCAATTAACAAGACAAGTGTGAGCGAATTCTGAAGATTCAAGATACTAGGCTATGTAAATGAAATGGTCAAATTCCAACATGGTTAACTTTGTTTCAAAGGTGCATTAATTATCCGTTTTTGCACTCAAGACAGAGCACTACTCCTTCTTTGTCCACCTCAGGAATCCCTCTTCAGAAGACCTGCAAATTGTGAAATAAGCCAACCAAAATCTCGTTTTTCCCATTTTTCGCTTTTGATCGCTGTGCTCCCACCGAATATTACTTAGAGCTAAGAAGACAAATCAGGCTCCAAACAGTCCTATGGAATCTACAAGGTTTAGGCTATCGATTCATAGAAATCCGCTAAAAATGTTTTTTTGATATAGTTAATGGGGTGCGGCACACCCCCTTAACTTGCCTTCAAAATCCAGAAAGCGCTCCATTGCTGGTATGAGTATTGAGCACATAGCTTCTTCTTGCTACATTGGAAATTTGGAGCGAAACGCCCCACCCATAAGAAAATTATGGCCCTTTCAATATACCCAGATCAAAATCAGCCGTCAAATTACGCGTGCTGGTAAAGTGCAGTCACAGAAAATCGGGCGTACAGCTTTCAGAAATCTGAAAACTCTCTAGAAAAAGATGGTGTCCTCCTGAATGTCACACTTTGAGGTCCAGAGGTTAAAGGCATTGTCCAGGTCAACTTGGGGTACTGGGATCTTAACACAGTGTGAAAGCACGGCTCCTGACTAACGCAACAGTTCAAGTGCGATCGAAAAAGGTGGAATCTGAAGCGAGAAAATCGCTTTGGACGAGTTTGGAAAAAAGGGGGCGGTACTCCAATCCCGCCCCTTTGACAAGTTTTGACGTGGCCAATACACTAGATCTTGAGCATTCGCCATGTCAAAACTTGTCAAAGGGGCGGGATTGGAGTACCGCCCCCTTTTTCCAAACTCGTCCGAAGCGATTTTCTTGCTTCAGATTCCACCTTTTTGGATCGCACTCGAACTGTTGCGTTAGTCAGGATCCGTGCTCTCACACTGTGTCAAGATCCCAGTACCCCCAAGCTGACCTGGACAATGCCTTTAAGAGGAGGAAGAAGGGGTCGTTTGAGGGCTTTCATGGGAGGGGGAGGGGTTTCGAAAGACTTGTGCCTGACCTCTTTCTCAACTCTGGTAATGCTATCTTAGGTATATAGTTCAGGGGGGGGGGGGGTCTTATTAAGACAGCAATAAGAGGGGGGTCGTAACCAGCGATCGTGTGCCACACCCCTTGCTTGACCCTGGTCATGACTTATTTGGCAAGGCCACTTCGACTAGGCAGAATTCGCTTGTCAGAGCTGGAGGGAGCTTCCAAACTTGGGTAATTAAACCTCTGACGTTCAGGCATTCGCCACTCGAGCAGGAGTAGTGGTAGTGAACTTTCACGAAAAGGAACCTAGTCACCCAGTTCAGTGGCCTCGAAGTAACAAATCACATGATGAGTTGTTTGAACATGCAATGAAAAATACGATCGAATACAAGGCTAAGATACGGGAAGAAGATCTAGGAAAAGTAGCACGCACTGGACTGGAAAGTCTAGTGAATGCGGGACAGGTAAGTTACACTATGTCTGAATTTTCTTGATGGTTATGGAGATTACTCATTTTCCAGGCTTTTGCGGGAGGGCTTTTTTCTAGCGGAAAAGGTGCTGATACAGCTAAACGCCCGATGAAAGCGTCTGGAAGAATGCACAGAATAGAGATGACGGATGATCAAAGCGATGAAGATGTGCACGGCGAGTTCGTCACCTCACCTCCAGTAATTTTTGTCAAAAAGGAAGACTCGGTAAATTTTCTACTTTGCTTGAAGTAAGCCTCAAGATAGTGAAAAGAAATAGGTAAAAAACAAAGCGGAGAACTGCAGTATACCGTCCATGAAGGGCCAGACAAAGAAGCTCCAAGTAATTTTGTCACTTTTGGGTGAGAAGACGGACTCAGATGACATGAAGGAGGTCATTATCATGCCTTTTAGGCTAGTAAATTGTTTAAGCTTTTTTCTTTAGATAAAGCAACTCATCAGTGAGTGGCAGGAAAGTTTCCGAAGGAGCTCTAGAGAAAGAGACGTGAGAAAGAAAGAGGTAGGTAAGCACTCCTTGGACCAATGAAGTCCATCAGCTCCTTCATCACAAAATATAAGGAACAGAGTTGGGCCTGTATTTGTCATATTCAGATAGCTAGGGCATTGGAAGAGCTTATCAAAAGGTTCGATCGAGTGAATTTGGAAGTGGTCAAAAAGGCAGGTGCGTCAATCTATACCACTTGAATCTGATCAAATGCGTATGAAATTAATAAGTAAATAAATTGACTCAATAAAAGTATTAAAAGTACAGTAGATCTTTAGGCAACAAAGTAGATGTCGAAACTTCAGCAATGGTCATTATTCCTGTCTTTCTGCAAAATTATTCAAACTTCAGCTTGTGAAAGCTCTTTGCAAGATATGCCTCCAGTAATTCCCTTCAATGAAAAACAAAACTCTTTCTCGGAATTCTGATATATAAGGCATAAGTCACCGAATTCACTAGCGAAATTTGCTGATAAGCTTCAATACCATAAATTTCGATTACTGAATACAGAAAATTGTTTTTAATGTCCGGTGTACAAAGCTTTCTATAATTTAGTCCTCCTTGATCTCGACCACCTGGATGAAGATGACGAACCTACAAAAATTCCTTGCGAGAACATACTTGTGAGATTGAATGACGAACTGCCAGGTGAGCATAGCGTAAGAGTTAGAGTGCTTTCTTTTGCAAATTACTATTTTTCTTTTGTGCCCTGTTTTAGAAGACAAATCCAAACACAACGAAAAGGTTCAGCACGGGGTTCCAACAGAGGTTCGCGATCATGTCATTATCGAAGGTGATTGTGAATATCTAGTATCTCGGACATGGGTCTGACATTATTTAATTTCGTTACAGATGGAGTCGAGAAGTTGATTCTTAATGACGGTGACAGCGCGGCAGATTCAAATGTAGATCCAGCGAATTCGAAGGTAGTTGTGGATGAAAAGCCTTCAGCTATCGATGAGAAGAGCGGAAGTCATGAATGGTCAAATGAAGAGTACAAGCGAGAGTTGAACAAGTATAAGAAGGAGCACCACATCAATTCTACGAATGAACCAGTATGTTTTAAATCTTTCCTGTCAAAACGCAAAAGGTTTTTTTTCAGAGGAACGAAACATCCTGCGATTTGTACATGCGTTGTCGGAATCAAATGCACCTGGCTGTAGATAGTTGCGCTTGGCGATTTGCCAGCGGCAAAGTACTTCCAACATTGGCTGAAAGTGCTGAAAGTCTCCTTTACAAGGTAATGTTCTTGAATTCATGTCTCAACCAGAGGATATAGATCGATAGAGACGTGCAATGTGCAAGTGAATATCATCAGATAAAACATAACTGTGAAAATCGAATTAATCTTATATATAAAGCTGAATGTCTGTTTGTATGTCTGTCTGTCTGTATGTATGTATGTATGTATGTATGTATGTATGTATGTATGTATGTATGTATGTATGTGTGTACGTATGTTCCGAATAGAAAATTCCATTTCTGAACCGATCCGGACCAAACTTGGCACACATACACTTCGGGCCCCGGCGGGTGTCATAGGCTACTTTTCGTCATCGATCGATATCGATTTTATCGATTTTTATCGATTTTTTTGCTGAGTTCACCTACGGGGCTGGGAGTTGGCACAGGGGGGTAATCGAGCATGGGGATTCCGAATACAATATTGGTTTTCAGGATTATCGATTACTTTTATCGATTTTATCGATTTTTTTGCAAAGTTTGAGCTACGGGGCTGGGAGTTCGCACAGGGGGGTAATCGAGCTTTGCTAGCTCAAACTTTGCAAAAAAATCGATAAAATCGATAAAAGTAATCGATAATCCCGAAAACCAATATTGTATTCGGAATCCCCATGCTCGATTACCCCCTTGTGCCAACTCCCAGCCCCGTAGCTCAAACTTTGCAAAAAAATCGATAAAATCGATAAAAGTAATCGATAATCCCGAAAACCAATATTGTATTCGGAATCCCCATGCTCGATTATCCCCCTGTGCGAACTCCCAGCCCCGTAGCTCAAACTTTGCAAAAAAAATCGATAAAATCGATAAAAGTAATCGATAATCCCGAAAACCAATATTATATTCGGAATCCCCATGCTCGATTACCCCCTTGTGCCAACTCCCAGCCCCGTAGCTCAAACTTTGCAAAAAAATCGATAAAATCGATAAAAGTAATCGATAATCCCAAAAACCAATATTGTATTCGGAATCCCCATGCTCGATTATCCCCCTGTGCGAATCCCAGCCCCGTAGCTCAAACTTTGCAAAACAATCGATAAAATCGATAAAAGTAATGGACGATCCTGAAAACTAATATTGTGTTCGTAATCAGCATGCTCGATTACCCCCCTGTGCAAAATCCCAGCCTCGCATGTCAAAATTTACAAAAAATCGATAAAATCAATAAAAGTAATCGATAATTCTGAAAACTAATATTGTATTCGTAATCCCCATGCTCACTTTCCCCCCTATGCCAACTCCTAGCCCTGTAGGTGAACTCTGCAAAAAAAATCGATAAAAATCGGTAAAATCGACATCGATCGATAATGAAAAGTGGACTGTGACACCCGCCGGGGCCCGAAGTGTATGTGTGCCAAGTTTGGTCCGGATACGGCGGAGCCGGGTAAGCCAGCTAGTTTTTTGATAAAATTCAAGAATTCAATTTAGCTAAAAACAATTTTTGCGGGCGCGGCTGGCATTACGCCCCCTTCTTTTGAAATGCAGGGGTTATGAGCCCTCAAAAATTTCAAGAGGCATACCAAAAAATTCCTCGAAGTTTGTGACTAATGCCACAAACCTTCTTTTCTTATTTTGCCATTTCCCTTTCCCCAAACGGAAATTAGACCGCCACTGCTATCTATAATACATGATGTCCAGGAAGCACGATATTACGATTTTGCCATTTCCCAAATTTCTATTTCTTTTTTGGTTTTTAGCCAAAAATAAATTGCAGCGAATATTTACATGAACGGCCGCATGCAATTGATATATTTAATCTTGAGTAAATCAGAGGTTTGCAGGATTTTTTTTCCAAACTGGAAATTCTAATTTTCAATGACGTGAAATGTCTCTGGACTTTTCCTTCGAGTTTTGAATAAGTCGTAAATCTTTGCTCGCATAAGCATCATTCTGTAAGGCTTGCTTCATTGAATGCTGTCGTCTCATTTTTTTAATGTTTAAAAACTGTAAAGCGAAAAACGACATTTTCTCCTCTTTAACCTAGAAGTTCGCGAATGTGTCTTAGGGCAATTTTCCAAGCTCGTAATTTACCCAAATCTAGGGAGAAGAGTTGTGTGACCCAGCTCAGCAACCACTGTATGAGGAGCTCTACGAAATGGTGATCAAGCGAAATGCTGGTTTACGCAGTTGCTTGGACAAGAAGAATGCGGCATTTGTGCGTTTACGGACCCTAAAAGTTAAAATTGAGTTAACTTTTGTTTTTAGTTCGAATCCTCAATATGCGTACCATATTCGACAGCTGATCACATTCGTTTCAACTCAGCATTCCTGCGATTACTAGGAGATGATTATAAACACTCATCACAGTGTTTCCGTGATGCAAATCTAATTCAAGAAAAATGTACGAAACTTAGAGAATGCTGTCCGAATTTCGACGAGTAAGACACTTTTCACCGAGGAGAGTTTAGTGGTAAATGATATACATTACATACATTGTAGCTGTCGACAGAGCACTATGGATATCCGCTTGGAACAAGCCATTATTAGCAAAACGGCACAGCTCAATGAGGACAAACAGAAGTGTCTCAAACGGAGAGCGCGGGAAGCATTCAAAATGACTTTGAGGGGTAAGTACAGTAGTTTTCAATCTGAGTATCACGGCTTGCGTCCTCGCGAGCCGCCTCCCTTGGGCTAATCGACGAGGTTCGCGAACGTGCCTCGGGGTATTTTGCCAACTCGTCAACCGTTCCCTTAAAATACGGTATCTCCCATGCCTCAAGCGTGGGAAAATACCGTATCTGCTGAGGTCGAATGCGGCAAAAGACCCAAGGAAGGCGGTTCGCGAAAACCCAAGCAGCGCCGACCGTGACACTCATATGGAAAGCCCTCGTAAAAAGGCCTGAGGCTATGACTCCTCTGCCGCTGAGGTGTGCAAATCTATATCCTAAAATTATAGGACTACTGGGCAAAGGCGGTTGGCAAATGCTACAGAAACTGAAACGGGGTGAACTTGATATGGACATTGATCGAGGAGCTCAGGCAATTGCTAGGCTATGAAGTTCGAAAGAAAACGGATGTTTACCAGTCTTGAAATTCGTATTTTCTGTTACTGGCTATCGTTCTTATGATCTGAAGCGACATTGTTTTGTCTTTGTTATTACTCGATGCTTCACTGATTACGTGTTATTTATGGTGGCTACATTTTTGCTACATTTGGAATTACTGGTAATTTACCCGATGACATTCTTGCTCTATTTTGCGTGTCATCGTTTGTTGTGACTATTTCACAAGATAAAACTTCTTCTCGTTGTTTTCGATGAGATGCGGGCATGAGTGCTGACTAGCGATATGTCTCCTTTATCTGCGGAACGTCTTCGGAAAACTTATGAGCTTTTTTTGGGAATAGAAACGAAGGAGTGAAGTGAAACCGTTCTGAATGTTCAATCTATTCGATAGGGCCCTCCAAGTGCTCGAATGGAGGAGGGTGAGTATGATGGTGTTAGAAAAAATATTCTGCACAGGGTGTTGCGTAAATATCACACTTTCAGGCAAGGACTCTACCCCCATCAGCCCTAAAATTCGTTTTTGTTTATGGTTAGCAAGTGCTCAATAAGGCAGAGACAGTGATTACATATTCAAGAAAACAACTAGCTCGCTTTTAAGAACATTTAATTTTTATTCTAGCGATAAGCTGTTGGCACAATTTTTGACAAAACACTAGAGATTATCAATAATCCGACTTTGCTGTGTATGTCGCGACTACCCCAAGCGAACTGAGCTCAAAGTGGATCTTTTCACATAAATCAGTCTCAGCGACGAGATAAGCGTTAGCAGCTTCTCCAAAGAATGCTGTTGATTTCATAAAGTTCAACAATGCTTCTCTGGCTGCAGCAAAACATCTGTAGAAGATCAGCTTAATTAGATTGATTTACAGTTTTTAAGGTTACACAACCTACTCGTCATGGTTCTTCTGCGCCTCATCCAGGGCAGCCTTGGTATTCTCATCGACATCGTTGTTCGCCTTTTTTCTTGCTTTATTCAAGCGTCGCCTGGCTTTTGCCAAATCTTTGAAACTACGTTTTAATGTCTTCATCTCTGTCTTATTAAATTCGCGTATGGCTGCAGTGTACTTCTGTTGTAACACATCTGCTTCCTTCACGAAAAGATCACCAATTTCAAAAAACTTGGTGCTGGCTTGTTGGAATATGGCTGCAGATGTCGATGATAGTAGCTGGTCTCCGTAGTCTTTGAACATTTCACTAGCTTTACAAAAGATCTTTTGTCTTCTTTGTGCATCCTAAATTGATATCCCTAACGAGGAATTGGCTGGAAATCAACGCAGCTCTTCCAAACAAGAACCACATCATCAGGTAGGCATCATCATCGGTGTAGCTTCAATGCAAATTTCCACAGAAGCTGATACGAAGAGAGTATAATTGTTTTGATAGTGCCACAACCTTAAGAGCCTGGACCCTCGCCGCGAAGTTTCCGCAAAATTCTGAGCATTTTCTGGCCTTCGACCGCTTGGTCAAAGGCATTGTTGGAAATTTGAAAGCACATCCATCAACGACCGCAGCTGGCTCCCATTCAAGAAATACCCCACAGCCGCTGCAAAATACCGCTTAAAGTAAGAAATTTGCTCCAAAATTGAACTAGCCGCCCCTCGATTCATTCTTATTGGGCACGGCTGTTGCGAGGCTGTCATCGACCGCAGCGGCGTATCCTGCCGCGCTTTCCTATTATGTAAGGACGTGAGTAAGTCAAGGAATGGCTCTTTGGAACTTCTAAGGCTATTCTAGAAGCAGTATCTTGCAGTCGCAATAGCGCTGTGGCTTGCATGAGAAGCCCGCTTTAGTGTTTCCGGATACTGCTTTTAAATAGATATCAATGCGTAAAGGCACGTTTACTGAGCAGCGGAACCAAGGAAGGTATCGCGAAGCCCAAACAATCATAACCGTGAGTTTATCATTGCGATATCTTATAGAAAATAGTTTGGAGAAATAATATACGCTTACATTGTTTCAAATTGAATACACATCAAAGCAAGTCCTTAGCCACTTACCCTCGAAGAAACTTTGCCTAATCTTTCTAGCCTTTTCAGGCTTTGACAGATAACATCAATTCTTTCGACAGTGTCAAGAAACTCTACAGGATAATCTTCACGATTTCTGCAATCAAAGTCTGGGATTGTGGAAGAAGACCTGTCTCCGCAAAGCAAAGCTATCCTGTTCTTACCCAGCACGCATTAGCCTTGGCATTTTGTTCCTTCGTTTCGGACTGATCGGAGTGCGTGGCGTTGACATGTTCGTCCAAATCGGGGATGTCGTAGGCAACTCCACCACTCGTTCTTTTGACATGGCGACTAAAATGGAAATCATACTTTTTCAACTTTATATAGCGGTCGTATGCTGAGGTTTTATTGATGTTAGTTGAAGTAAGTGAATTGGTCGGTTTCATCGCTAGCTACACGGATTGCCGATTTGCGTAAACGAAGGAAATTGCTTTAAGGTTTTATTATGAGCAAGCATTCTAGGACATAGCAGAGAACCAACAAAAGTTAATTACATGCTTCAAGTTAGATATTTTAAGTAATTTCAGGAAGGGAATGCAAATAGAAATCATTAGTAAATGGTTAAGTGAAGTAGTTATGCAGTACTTAATTTTATTGTGAGGAAAAGTCCCGCGACATTCTCAACTTTCTTATCGAAGTTGCTTCCAGCATTCAGTTTTGGGCTTGTTAACATGTTTTTAGCAGTGCATCTTCTCCGGCTTGGGAGTTTTCACAAGGAGCAAGTGATATGCTATGCGTTCGAATAAAATTTGAATCGTTTTGTGGAACATATGGTGTGCAACAAACAGCCTTCTCATTTCGCGGGTCACCAACCCGCAATGCGCCCGCGTCTTGATAATTCTCATCTGTTTTGTAAGAGTAAAGCATTTTTGCCGTTTCGGAGGAGTGAAATGAGAAGCGGAAGTTACTGAAATAACGGCGAGGAACTCCTGCAAGGATGCGATCTTTACTTGTTCTTCAATTTCAGTCATTTTCATGGGATGCAGACTTCAAACTCCCAACAATGAAGTGAATGACAGTAGGTAGTAGCAGAAGAGGAACAAACGTCGTTCTCAAGCATTCTTCTTTTGTAGACGTATAAGACGTGAAGCTTGAAGAGGGGTTCAACTTGAAGAAGGGTACAGACGAAGTCGTACTAGCTCAACGGCTTTATGTTGGTTCGAAGATCCACATTCCACAAGATTGATCCAAAAGATAATCTTATATGATGCAAGGAATTTTTGAAGAAGTGTCTACTAAAAGATCATTCAAATTTCAACAATTCTAGGATCGAGAACTGTACAAGAGAGGAACTTTCAGGAGCTTGCCAGACCATGCAGATTATACCGTCTATTGTTTGTGGTTTGGCCGAAAATAAAATTATAGTGCAACAAATGTGCCGCTGGCGCGTCGCGGAAGTACCCATTGGAAGCTTTCAGGGGCACACACTTATGATTGAAGTTTTATGTAAGCTTGCAAAACTCAAAATTTCTTCACATTCCTGTTACTCGCTTCTGATTGCCTTTCGGTGCTTTTTTTTCTTTTTCTTTCAGGAAAGTACAAACTATATTCAAAACGACAAACTTGGGAGTTGACGCCAGTTGTGCGTGCATGTTGTGTGCCGGCAGAGAGCCGACATAGCACGTCGAAAAACTTTGTATGCAATGCAATTGACCATTCATATGTGTGCCCATTATCCGTTATCCTTTTTTTATTTTCGCTTTAAGTTTTTTGTTACCCATTATGAAGGGAGAAGCTCAGGTGCCACAGTCCGGCACCTTAAGTGGTTAATCTATATATATATAAAACTCAAAAATTGTCAGTTTGGAGGGTATGTGCGTTATAGAAACGCGCGCCGCTCAACCGATTAAGCTGAAACTTTACACACATATGTTTTCGAGCCTTGCGCAGATGATAGGCTACTTTTTGCAGCGATTCGTTGGGTCCTTCTATCGATTTATTGATTTGCAGCACTTTGCAATGAAAATGATTCTTATCATTTGCTATCAAAACAGGGGTATGCAAGGCTGGCATGTCTCATTGTGAACTTCTGTTGACGAAGTGCAGTGAAAAGTGTTCTTGATGTGAGTCTCAATTGCTCATTTAAATGGATGCACTAAATGTATCTTATGCGGAAACCTTAACGTACAAGAGACCATGAGTGCTTTGTAGCGAGTGTTTTGTACGGAAGCGTGCTCAATTTACGCTTATAATCAATGCTTTCTTCGTTACATGCTCAATTTAAACAATGAGGGGTCAAAATTTTTCATGAGATTGCGCACAAATTATTTGTCAATACTAGAAATAATGTCAAGACAAGCGACAACTCACATTCGCTATAGTTGATCCCTGGGACCAAGAAAGTGCGCGAGTGCAAAGTACTGCCGACTCCATAAAAATTGACGGCAAGCAGTGAATGAAGATGAAGTAGCCGGTTAACGGCAAAGTGTCACAAAAAATGATCCTCATAATAACAATGAGCGCTGCTATCAATTAACTCGCGCTGCTTGCTTAGGTTTTGCGTGTTGAACTTGATTTGGAGAAAGAGAGATATGCTACCGACTAATAAGTGTTCACATTTTGTTTTTGTTCTTTACACAGTTTCTACAATGCCACCGAATACCTTATCTTCATTCCCGATCAGTGATCATTCCCGGGCTGGACCGGGCAGATCAGCTAGTAGTTAATAATTTGTGGCTCTATCAGCAATGCCGTCATCACACTGCATGAAAATCATTTTCAAGCTTTGGAAGGAATTTTCTAATGAATATAATTTTGATGCTATGCTCATAATAAATATCGACAGAAATCGAAGAAAATGAGGAGAGACCAAACAGCCCCAATATAACCTATAGCAAATCGCAGATCCGAGGCAAAATCATAGCGGTAAGAAGGGCACATCAATTACTCTTGGTCTAGTTCCGAGGAACAGTATAAGCAAGTCGCAACCTAACGCAAAAAGTTCCTTAATCCCATGACAGAACTTTCAAAAATTAACGTTATTCTATAGTTCTTTGCGACATTTTCTCAAAGACACCGTCCACCCAGAGCGGGGGGATGAGATTGTGATGACATACTAGTGTGGGCCCCAAACTATTCGAGCCCCCAAATTATGCGCCAAAAAATTGCTTTCGGAGCGAGAAATCCGCTCCGGAAGGGACGTAATCCGGTGTTGGTCACTCCGCCCAGCTGGTCACCCCGCCCACTTTGCAGATTTGTGTATGACGCGCCCGGCAAATATCAGCGCCGCGGCACCTTGACTTGCATTGCACCGTTCTCCAAAACGGGTGTTTGGGGGGGGGGGGGGTTAGTTGCGGATTCTCACTACATATTCGGAATCAGGACCTTCAGAAGGCCTGGAAGCGACGAAAACATGGAAGTCGAAAATTTGGGTGGACGGTGCCTTTAACGCGTACTACAGGTCATTGTAAAGTGAAACATATGTCGAACAAACTCAAGGCTTTGCAGAATGTCTCAGTACGTACGTTGTCCACAAAATCTAATCACTTGTTTTCGGTTTTTAAAACTGCTAAACATATTTAGGTTCTACACGATTTAATTCAGTCTTTGAGACTTGCAGACGTTCCCCAACTGCATTAACTCAAAATTGAACGATATTTGCATGTGGGACAACTGATGCTCTTTTTTACACTTGGGTGCATTTTCCTATGCGGCAAAGAAAGGATATCGCAGTTCAGTTGGGTGGTTCCATATTCAGGATGTAAAGGCATGTACATACTTTTATTCATTAATACCCCTCTTCCCACAAAGCCTTCTGTCGATCATTGGGTACCATTCTCTACAGTTAATTCAGGCTTGAAGTTCAAGTATAAAACAAATCACTAGCCCCTCCTCATTAATATGTACGGTAGGAAATTCCAGCATACAGCACCACTACGAGATAAGCCGTTTGAAAAAAAATTGTCTTGAAACGTTGTATAGTAAGCTTTCGTCATGTTGACATTGCACATCTACGAGATCTCTAAACACTCTAAGTGGTGAAAATCACATGTCTGAGGAACACTGAGCGACCAGCTTTGCAGGATCGATAAATCTCTGCATACCTTAAGACAACTTGAAGCCAGCTTTATAGAGTCATACATTCACGTCGACAAGACACTTTGGGAAGATAGATACTAACACAAACGGTGTGCACATTTCGAAACTACGTGTATTATCAGGTTGTCAAAAAATAAAGACCTTTCTTCGAACTTCAAACACACATGAGTATTTTTCTAAAGAGTAAGCAAGCTTAGTGTTTATGTTACGAATAAGGGAACAGCACACTTCAACAAGTTTGATTTCAGTGGAATTTAATCGCGTAAAAAAGCTTGTAAAATTTGTTTATCAACACGACTCCAAAGATTACATGTACAAACAGCAAAAACTCAATCAATGATCCGTTTCATTGGAAGCTCGCCACTGCTTCTCTTTCTTATATAATGGATATAGTCCTTTGCTTTTTGTTCTGAATGAAATACATCGAGACGAGGAGGTCGCGGAAAATCAGATTCTATCGTTTGCTCCGCGTTCACATCGATTAGATAGATGCAAAGCAAAAAGATGTAGAAGAAAATCTGCATCTGAAATCATAGTACATAAGCTACGTGGAAATATAATAACAAATAGAAATAAATGTGTAAAGGAAAACAAGTTTCTGAAGAAATATGAATGATTTGTTAGTGAGGCCGCAAAAACGAGTGGCCTTACACAACTACATAGGCGGAAGCGAAGTAAAAGAATGTCAATTTCAGCGCATATTTCATGCCAATGCTTTTTGGGATGTTCTCGAATGTCATCAAAAATGCGAGTGACACAACACAAAAACACATCAAAATGGAGGGCAAAAATCGAAGATCCAATTCTTATGACGAGGATTTGGGCGATAATTTTTCGATAAGACTTGCTTTCACTATGAGTGACAAAATGAAAAAGTTGTTCTTCTTGCAGCAACAGTTCCGAGCTTATCCCAAACAAAATGCTACGTGACACGAGAAATGCACATGATGTTGGTGCGTTTGAATATTTAGGAGATTACCAAGAAGGAGAACTGTTTAAGGCTGTCGTATATATGAACAGTCTGCAAAAGTGAACACATCTCAGCATAATGACCGTGTTATGTTTGAATTGTTTGTGAAGTAAAAAGACCACTCCTTTTATTTACATAAGTGTTTGCTCCAGTTCTACTTGAGAGACCCGATGGACAAAACAAATTTGTTCACAGAATGTATGGCGTTTTGGAGATATGTCTTTGTGGATTTAATAAAGATCAATGAGCAGTACTCACTTCACTACCTTCAACAAACAAATATGTGACTGCGTTAGAATAAAGATGTCATCAGACCTGCTAACATTATAATTTCCAAAAATCATATTCACTGTTTTGTAAAGCATTTCTAAGAAGGCAAATTCTGCATATTTTATAATGGATCTATGAGCAGTTCCGAAGATGTCTCGCATTAGCAAGAATATTTCAGTAACTGTCATAAGTTAGAACAGGTGAATGTCAAGGGTAAAATGAACGATTGATCCTCTTCATTTCATGATGCATTTGTTGGAGCACCATAGTATGCAAGCCGCGGTAAAGGTACGCCATCTCTTCCTCAAACCATATAAAGTGCTTCAGAGCGTTGACATTTCTGAAATTTCGGTGGCTCAAACACGTTCACTTTCCTAAGTAAGCCTTGCTTAAACTGTTCTCGCTCATCAGCCTTCCCGCTTGAAGCAGTAAAATTCCCTAAATGAATACTAATGGAAGTTTTGATCCATGTTTCTAACATGCAATCAAATGATATTATTGATAAGTGATTATTTAACCACATTTACGAAAACATGGAAGGCGATAATGAAAGCAATAGTTTGTTTCATTATATAGTGGAAAGCGTGAAAAGAAAAAACCATAAGTTACTCTATAAATACCATTTTAGATTTAAATCGACCAACTACTGGAAGGCTTTGTTGTCCGAAATGATGCGCTGACCTTACACAGCACCTGCATTAATTGCTTCGCAAAGACTCAGTAAGTAAATTTCCATTAGTCGAGAACCCAGATGCAGATTAAATTAATAGTGCATTTATCACCAATTTTCCAATTATTTGCCAGATACATTGCAGAAAACGAAACTGAAAGTGGTTAAATTTGGCTCAATGGGCATGATTAGAGCTCACCTAAATTTTGATACTTCGACTTTGTAGTTTATGTTCTCATGTCACGGAGCTGCATAATTAGGTCCATGCTTAAGTACGCTGAAATTTTATCAATAATATCAGTCTGTGTTATACAACCAAACACATTTTTAAATTGGATTTTTTCCGCTTTTTATGATTTATTTCAATGTGTGTGCTCTTCAGAAGCTTTCATCCTGTTCTGTAAAACTGCTTGTTCACTACAAAAATGTCGAAAAAAGCGTTAATTGAACAGCAGGGCTAAACGTTAATTTTGAGAACTTCATCACAACGCCGTTAGATTTCAAAATGCTTACAGAACAGCTCAAAAATCAGCGACATGGAAAAAGTGTTGTAGTTCTCCAGGTTGCTTAAAAGTGTCATTTCTTTTGAAAGATTATAACTTCAAAGAGAGGATTCCTTTTTGACGCCGCTTAACTCGACGTTACTCATCAAAAGGCACTCATGAAAGAGGATGTTTGACGGAAAATCCAGAAATTTAGGGTAAGTATGGTCTGCGTTTACGAAATGTGTTTTATATGTTTTGCCTATTTTCTTACCTCAAACACAAAGTCCGAGAAATATATTGCTTGAATGCGCCAGACGACACTCGTGACGAAGTCCTGCTCAATCGACTCAAAATGGCACTGAATAGTTGGCAGAGTAGGGAACAAGAGGTACATGACAGTGCCACAAGTGTTTAGTATGTCACTTGTTGTCGTCAAGGGTAGAAAAAGTTCTACCAAAAATTTGTGAATTTGGAGAGAAAAAAGATGTCGAAGACGAATTTTCACTCTTCCGATTTTTCGTTTTTAAGCTGAGTTTTTTTTGCTAACTTTCAGAAATTTTTCATTATTATGAAAGTATAAGTAAATTTTGCCAAATACCGAAATAAATTGAAAAAAATAAAATAAAAAATTCGAAGAAAATCATAGAATCTAATAATATTGAATTAATTGAGATGTACTCAAACGAAATAAAATATGCAAAATTAAAAACACAAAGGAACCAAGAGATGCGAAAAATAATGGTTTAGGAGGTAGAAAAGTCGTTATTTGTGTTTACTTCGTCAATGAAGATGTAATTGGTGATGTTCAAGCAAGCTTCATTTCAAAAAACAAGGAAAAATTTGCATCAAGCATCTAAACTTGTCAGACTTGCTCGTTACATTGCACTTCCACTTCATCCCTTCCTTTTTCTGGCATCTATTTACTTCATTCACCTCGACCGCCGCAGCAAAACGGGCATCATTATTAGATCTTTAATTCCGAGCATGTACTAGGGTAACAGAATTAATGCAGGTTTCCAAATTTAAAGTTTGGATTGCTATAACTTTTCACAGAGATATATTCACTATGCAGATATCGTTTGTGCAGCAGCGTTAAAGTGGATTTTCACAAAAAATATGCTAGAAAATATTGCAAAAGTTTTGTAATCACTCATTCTTCGTGCTCTCAAAAGACGAAAAGGTGCTATTTTTTGCTGTTTTTTGAATTTTCTCGCTACCGAAGAAAACAAAAGCTCCAGGTTTTTTTCTATTATGTGTCCTATGTCTATTTTTTCTGTGCAAGGCGAAAGCTTCGAAATTGCTTTGCAACTGGGATTTCTATACACCGCAGAATGATAGCAGCGGTTGTGTGGGTTTGAAATAAAACTTCTCAGACTGAAAACTTCGAGAAATTTGCTTTAATGTGCATTCTGTATCACAGATCACATACAAACAATATACCAGTTCACAAAAAATTCCGATTCTCTGCGGTGGATTTGGAGCAAAGAGTGTAAAAGTAAAGAATTTCGAGGTTCAGCCTCTTGATTTCAAAAGCACTTAATTTCGAAATAAAACCAATTCTCCTGAAACGAAAGCGTGCCTAGTAAACTAGAAAAGTGCTTTCGGAAGGTACGCATAGTTTTCTAAGACAATGAAATTTTGTTTGAACCAACACTTTGAAAAAGAGGTTTGGAAAAACTGCATTAATTCTGTTAAACGTCCTCTTGTCTTGAAACCTGGGCAACCTGTGGTACTGATTTCAATATTTTTCTTTTGCCGTACAGGTTGTTATCGGTGACAGTTTATTGCCTAACGTTTCGGCACAACGCCGTCGTCGGAGGCTAAAAGTATTCAGTCACGTTGATTTACGATCTTGGTCGCCAAACATCTCCTCCCGCTCGAGCATTCGAATGGTCTTGAGTGGAAGCAGGGAGTTTGCGAGTAGAGGACGACTCACCAAGTTGTCACCGTTTGTAGCAGTATCAGTTGGTTCTGATGTGCTTCAACGAACTGCGATGTTGAGAGTATGCAGTCGTGATGTCAACTGACTGCTGTGTCGCGAATGAGCAGTCATGATGTCAATGGACTGCTTAAATAGGGTAGACGATCTTATAGTTTGCAATATGTGCAAATAATAATAATAACAATAATCTGCACACCCTACAGCCGTGAAACGCGCCATGATTCGAAATATGTTCAGAACGGTAGTAGGCATCTGCAGCGGCGAAAAAGAAAAAAACAAGAATCACTAAAGTTGGCAACTGGAATAATGTTGCAAACGGTTATAATGTGCGAGTTAGACGTACAACGAAAGTGTCAAAGGCGAGTGGACAGAACGTAAACAAAATACCTCTGTGCCTCCCTTTCATTTCCGAAAGGGTCAGTGCTGCAATAAGACAATGTTTGATACGAGCGCAGTTGGATAACGAAGTTGTCTTGGTGAATATCCCCCGACATAACATCAAAAGACAACTAGTCCGTAATAGAATGTATGACAATGCTTGCATCACCCGAAATTGCATGATATGCCCTCACGGAAAAGATGGAGATTGTTCGAAATCTGGCGTCGTGTATCAAATAGAATGTTTAGCATGCTCTGCCATCTACATTGGTGAGACGGATAGGCCATTGTGCGTGCGCGTAAACGAGCATTTGGCTAGTAAAAAGCGGCAAAGCGTAATGAATCCGCTAGGAAAGCATAGAAAGGTAGGTCATAACGGTAATGACTTCGACATCAAGTGCATAATCTTGGCCTACGAAAATCAAATATCCGCGAGAAAGGCCCTTGAGGCATCCTACATTCTTGTCCGCGACCTCCAGATCAACAACAAGAATGAACAATTATCTATAACTGGAGATCTGATGCCGTATTTGACATATTGCAAACTATAAGATCGTCTACCCTATTCAAGCAGTCCATTGACATCATGACTGCTCATTCGCGACACAGCAGTCAGTTGACATCACGACTGCATACTCTCAACATCGCAGTTCGTTGAAGCACATCAGAACCAACTGATACCGCTACAAACGGTGACAACTCTGGTGAGTCGTCCTCTACTCGCAAACTCCCTGCTTCCACTCAAGACCATTCGAATGCTCGAGCGGGAGGAGATGTTTGGCGACCAAGATCGTAAATCAACGTGACTGAATACTTTTAGCCTCCGGCGACGGCGTTGTGCCGAAACGTTAGGCAATAAACTGTCACCGATAACAACCTGTACGGCAAAAGAAAAAATATTGAAATCTGCATTAATTCTGTTACAACCTAATAAAATGAATGAAGCTAACGTATGGCACATGCCTTTCTGAGCCACATCTGTAGTGAAGGTAACGATGATGTATGTTTAACTGCACGATGTTAAAACCATACCAATAATTCACATTTTTGCTCTTTGTCCAATACAGTATGTATAAATTACAATTATCTTGTCAAGTACATTGTCAAATGGTGAAAAAGAGTGGAGGATGCCTCTTCCAAACACACTTTCCATGAGCAAAATGATCGCAGACATCAGAACGCTATGCACCGATTGCACGATTGTACGGCAATTTCTTACATTACTTGCGATAGACGGATAATTTATAGGGCAAAGAAAGACAAGACGCACGCACTTTGCAAAAAGCAAAGATACGTCGAAATAACTGTAAATCGATGTCTCTCAGAAATAGTAGGGCAGGATGGTTAGATCACGTAGTCAAAAATTCTAAGAGTTCATAAATGTAGACGACCATACATACTAACACGTGAGCTAATTTTGGCAATGGTATCAGCCATATTTCCATGATAGGTTTTGGTGAGAGGTGAGCTCGAACATTGAGTGCGAAGCACACCAGCTTTCGACAGAAATGACAAAAACGCGTTATCGTGCTACTACGGACTTTCATCTCAATTGTGGGTGAAAGTAAACACCATTAACCTTTATTGCTTTTCTGTGGTAACTTGGCGCATTCAAGTTTAGTGTAATTGTTCTATGTCACAAACACATCAAGTTCAGTGGCTAGATTTTTCCGTTGAGGCCTAAGAAACATGATAGGTGGAAAGCAGTGGCGTACCCAGGATTTCCGCTCGGGGGGGGGGGGGGGGGCGCGACAAAAAATTTTTCTAAATGAATGCGCGTGCGTTAGCCACGCACTCCGAAAAAATTTTAGGGGTGCTTCTCAAACTTTTTCAAAATTTCAGAAAGGGGGGGGGGGGCGTGGCGGCAGCCACGCTCCCGAAAAATTTTTTATAAGGCTAATTTGAATTTTTAAAAATTTTTAAAAATTATTTTAATAATTTACAAAAATAAACAAGTCACTTGCACATTTTTATAACCCATATAAGCAACTTTCAAAAGTTTGACGACCCATTCTCGGGGGGGGGGGGCGCCCCCCCCCCCTCGGTACGCCGCTGGTGGAAAGTAATTTAGATATCAACACGTATCGCCGTGTTAAACGAATGTGAATAGGATTGGGATTCAGCTTCGTTATTCTATCAGCAACATAAGAAGATTCACAAAATAACGTTTTTTTTTCATTTTTATTTTTGCTCTTGAATTTTTATTTCCTACCTTTTTTATTTCCTACTTTATTCTGGTTTTTAAACTAAGTGTACCACTATATTTGCCCAAAACTGATGAGTGTGTATGACGAATGTTGCTATTCTTGGTGCAAAATTATTACGAGCTGATTTTAAGAATTTCTGGGAGAAAAATTTACTTACTTACCATCATTACTTTCGTTTCGGTTTTCGGCATAAGTCAAGATATTACGTTTTCTTCCCGAAAATATTCCACATGGGCATGACATATGGGCATATGGACAGTTATATAGACAGTTCTGCTCGCGTCTTTTGAGACGTGGCAGCTCGCCAGTCTGGTCAGTCGACGCCGCATCGACTATTTGGCGAATGTCTAGTCGAATGGCGCCTATGGTAAGCGGTGAGAAAAACAATTTCTTAGAGGTACTCAAAATGTTTCGAAAAGCGCGTTTTTCCAAATGATTCCAAGTTCCAAGAAACCTAGAAGGCTGTGCAGACTTGGCAAAAGACGCACAGTCTCATAATAGCTGCGACAGAACGCTTATTAGTAGCGCAGGTAGGTTTCACAGTCTGTGCGATCTGCATTGCAAGCGCTTTGCACATGCAGGCATTAGCTTGCAAAAGATGGATATTACACAACGGATATATAACAATTCTTATCCAAAAACACAAGGGCACTTAAAAGCATCATCAATAGATTTATCAATCTTGCGGGCATGATTTCAAGACAGACACCGGATTCATCCACTGCCAAAATGCCGTTTTGTCTCAAGTTCATGTCAAAGAAGGCCTTTGATGAGGCTGAAATTGCCAACAATGCCCTGTCGTCAGGCATTTATGCACTGAAAAAGGTCCTTTGCTAATAAATTTAATAGTTACCACTTGTGGAAGTAAAGTTTCTTGACGATAACCCACCATATAAACCCCAATAAAAAACTACTAGTTAGGGAAGTCAAAATCTAGGTAATTCGTCATTGTGAAATTGTGTTATCGTAATGCTTGTGAATTTTCAAGAGATCCGCTTGCCTAAATGGTGTGTGTATCGAAATGAGACAAGGAATCGAAAGTTGATTGCTGCTGACTGCGTTTTGTCACTGAGTTCTGATGAGAACCCTGTCCATCACATGATTGGTAAAATGAGTGCCACTTTAGCGACGTTATAGAGATTGTTCCTAGGTTGAGAATAATAAACGGAATTATCAGGAATATGAGACTCTGATACGTTTTTCACTTTGAAATGGTTACGACTTGAGTACAATAATAATTTCTGAAATGATTCTGTTATTAGGACCGAGTACGATAAAACGAGGAGGGGTGAGTACTACGTTCAGTTGTAAAGGTAATTGAAAGCCCAGCTGTCGGGGTGAAAGACATGGGACTGAAACTTCTTTCGGAACTCTACGGTTTCAATGGATTTCTTGGCCAAACCTCGTATGGTGTTGAAAAAGAGCTCTTCACAATGTTATGACAAGGTAACACCACCAGGTTGTTGCACTTGAGATAAAGCGAGATAATAACTTTGCCTCCAAAAAATTAAATGCTGGCCGTTGTTCCTAACGCAGTATGTACATATAAGATTAGGGACTGTGTGCATCACCGCAGGAGAGGGAACATATCTTCTTCGCCTCTCAACTTCTTCACTTTCACCTCGGCTTCTTAACTGGAAAGAATGAAGTAAAGGTGAACGTGAAGAAGTTGCAGCTTCTGCACTGTTCGTATCCCTGAAGGCGATAGAAAAAATGCTAATGTCATACAATTGATTTTCTTGTTTTCTTTTTTTGGCGAAAATCTCGAAAGATGCTTTTTGAATGTCTTAAGTCATGTACTTATCACGCATACATTTTCATAAAAAGGACGAAGTTGAATTCCTGCTGCATTATCCACCACAGTCAGTCATTATCCGTTGCATCGTCACGAGTCCTCATATATAAAAACTGTCCACGTTCTATCTAAAGAAATAACTGATCCTATGGAGACGACAAGCTCGGGCGTATTTCTTCTGGGAGGCTTAACGAAACTTCGTCCAGTAAACCGACAAACAATCTTGATGCTCCACTAGTTACCCGCACTGGTTAGAGACTGGTTTAACTGGTAAGATAAGAAGCAAATTTGCTACCATCTTCCATTTTGTGCCGACCTCTCAAACCCCTACCTTTCCATCGACTTTATCTTGTCCACGAGCAAACATGGCTAAGTAAAACTGTGCTTGCCCTATTCTGTTCTACACCCGTGAGAGTAGTACAATACTGTGGACAGCACATGTTCTATTAATGGGCTACAATTACTAAAAACTTGAAACCTCTCAATCCAAAGTATGGGTATCGAAACAAATTTGGAGGAGTAAACTCACACTCTACATAGAATTGAAACGAGATATACTATATATTCTCTTTAGACCATTTTTGGAGACTATAAATGTGTTGTTGTCATTTTGTTGCTGTACAGAGCACACTGCAAGAATCAGGGACAAATTCAACCAACGTCGAATACCGGTTTCGTAAGAAGTGATGAGTGTTGATGAACGGTTTGAGAATTTGATCACAAAGGGTTATTCTCCTTATCCACTGTGATCGAAAGCAGTGTCTGTTCAGTTTTCAACGCACATATGTCACTGCTATTCCTCTTTATTTGTTTCGTCAGCTTTTTTGTAGCTAATGCAGCGATAGAGGAGGATCCCGATCCCTGTCCAGCTGAATGGGAGGTACCCGAAGCGTTGCCGGAGTCCAAGATAGATGTTGAAAAACTTCCATTTCCAAAACCTTTCGAACAAATAAACGAAGCCATGGTTGAAGAAGAGCTCGCTCGTCCTATCGAAACAGCTGATGATCAGGCGCAAAGGTAAATAAAAATTGGATTTTCTTTAAACTTTGGTGCAACAAATTGATTCAAGCTCATGCTTCAGAAAAGAACTGGATTTTTTTTACAAAATTTGAATTTTTCATTGGGAAGTCATCTCAACGCCAAAATACTTCCAAGTAAAGTTGAGCGTAGCTTTACCACTACTAAATCAGAAGCAAAAAAGTACCAACATCATAATGACCTCCTGCAGATCATTGCACTTGCATGCAAATCACAATAAATCGCTCTTTTGGCGCTTATCTTACACTAGATGTTTCCCTAACTTCCAGAAAAACACACTGCGCAGAATCTTCTTCAATCTACATTGGCATCCTCAAATTCTTGACCAAAGAGAAAATTCTTCCATGTTTACGCCGCGAAAGCGCTGTTTACCAATATTTTAGTCGCAATGATAATTATCTTCAACCTTGACAATAAAATGCGACCAAAAACACAAGAAGCGATGATCCAGAAATTGTCCGAACATTTAGTAACTTGAATGTTCCTATTTCTTTAAACCTGGGCATTGTATATAATCTTCAATTATATACAATGCCCAGGTTTAAAGAACCTGGGCATTGTATATAATTGAAAAACGAAAACGCGAAAAACCACGAGGAGGATGGTTGCCCTACTTGAACACAATGGTCAACTTAACCAACGGCGTTGTAAAAATGAAGTGGTATCGCAAGGATAGTTGCAAAAACATCCTCATTAACGCGAATTCCGCACATCCTGTAAGCACAAAGCGGGCTGTAGTTCGGAATATGTTCAAGACAGCAACAATGATGTGCTTGGGAGAGGATGAGCGCCGCGAAGCAAGATGCTTAGCCTCAGAAATCGCTCGCAGCAACGGTTATTCCGCATCGCAAACACGACCAAAACATACGCGCGATAACCGCATTCGACAAACCCAAAAACTTCCGCTTTGTCTCCCTTTTTTCTCTGATAAAATCAACTCTGCCTTCCAACAATGCATTGTTCGCGCTCAGTTGCTGGATGACGTCATTTTAGTTAATATACCTAATGCGAATATCAAAAAGCAACTTGTTCGAAATCGACTTTATGATCGACTTTGTATAACCGAGCAATGCACAATATGCCCATATGGCAGAGTGGGCGACTGCGCAAGAGTAGGGGTCGTATATCAAATCGAATGCCTTGATTGCGGCGCACTGTATATCGGTGAAACTGGCAGAGTACTAAGCGTGCGAATCAAAGAACATCTGGCAAGCAAAAGGCGAAAAAGTTTAATAACACCGCTGGGTAGGCATAGGAATGACTCACATGATGGAAAGGACTTCGAAATCAAATGCACGATTTTGACACACGAAAACGAGATCTCGGCTAGAAAGGCGTTAGAGGCTTTCTGGATCTCGGCAAAGAGTCCAGAAATGAATAACAAGAACGAGTGCTTGTCCATCACTGCTGACTTCCTGCCGTTCGTAGCACTATGTGAGCTATAGATGGTAGATAGACTTTATCTGCCTTCGTAGATAACTCTCTATCTGCCCATTAGAGTATAGCTCAATTGTCCGCTTCTGTCACATATTTCCGGTCGTACTGTCATACTCTTCCGGCGCGGACACTTCACATAGCGGTGGTGTAAACGGTTGGTTCATTTCGGTTTTTGAAGATTTTTGCGGATTGAACTAGGAGAGAGGTCGAAACTAGCTAAGCTAGAAGAGATATTTGATGGTCTGGTGTCGTGGATGATGCTTTGTGCCGTTTTTAGGCCTCTGAGGACGGCGAACGCGCCGAAACGTTAGGCCATTCGAATAAAGACACTACCATAACAAACCTGTTCGGCACAAGCAAAATTGAAGATGTCCGAACATTGCTTCTAAACGCATGTCCGGGCAGAATTTCTAATAAAGATTTTTTGCTTGCCTAGCTCAAAATTCTCGTTCACAGAAATAAGAGCTTGTGAGTAAGCCAGCGCACTTTACATTCTTCTTGTTATCGTCATACTCACCCGGAAGCTACCCTTGAGCTGCTTTTCTATCCAAATAAGCAGCATACTTTCGTATTGCTTTCCTAGGTCCAGTTTTCTTGATAAATAGTTTTAAAAGCGACCTTGGAATATTCCACTGCACCGGGTGTTCACTGATAAATGGAATGTAGTTCTTGCCGATACAGTTGCTGGCTTGACCAAGATTGGTATTCTAATTTTATAAGCTGTTGTATGATTTCGGCGATTTCCGCCTTCTTTGAAAGCTTGAGAAGCCAATGACATATATGTGTCTCATCATTCTGAAGTCAAGGCCAGAGACAGATGAAATCGAGAAGATTGGATATATCATTATATCACTACATCACTATATCACTATCAGAGCCACAGGAACACATTCACCTAAAACACGGCACAAAAGCTAGCTGGGAAACAGACGTACAAGGCAAAATCCATGCCTCCAACCTCTTTGATGCGCTGAGTGACCTGACTTCAGTTAAAATGACAAAAAGAACGATAAGGCGCAACTCCATTCGTGATTGCAATGCATTCTTCCTTTCGGTTAGATCAGTGATTCGCAACAGTCCGACCCGAAACTCAAACGATGAGATGCCTGCTCAGTCTCCACTTTAGCATTTTTTGGCCTGTTATACATTGTCGCCTCCAATGGTATGCAGACGTTTGACTGAATTAGTCCGTTCAAATGTTCTTTGATGTAAACGCAAAAACGACGCTCAGTCACTCCGATGCAAAGATCTCCACATGGTAAACATGTGACAAGAACACTTCTGACACCATAAAACAACCCTCTCTGCTAGGTGGCATATAGTACAACTTGAGATCAAGCAAGTTGAAGTTAAGATCTTATCTGTTGAATCCGAGATATACAAAACGTTGAAATTATTTTGAACTGTCGCGAAAAACCTTAAATAAAGCGGTAGGAAGGGCATTGCAAACACGAACGAAGTAACGCCCTATCGCACCATCTGTGATTTTGACTAAGGTCAGGGACACTCAAGCATAAAATATAGATCGGGAGCAGTGCTTTGCATAAAGTAATCTGTTCTCACATAGTGAGTACTTGCTGTAGTTTTGATAGTATCTTTTACTAACCTTCTCGATTTATTTCGTGCAACTTGGTATCTAAATGGATAATCACTTATGACTCCATCCTTTTGAATCGATGAAGCCTTATATCGCCAAAATGCTGACGTCAGTTGATAAATTTGAAATACCAATTTTGGTCCACAGCAACCTTATTGTCAATATGTTCAAAATAGTGCCAAGATTTTGAAGGATCGATCTATCATATTAGAGTATGTGCATTTTAATTCAATTATTTCTTGTCCCTCGCTTGCGACATCCCACGATGTGCGAGTAGCTGCTTAAGCGAGATCCATGCGTGCAAATCATAGCCATTGTTCCACAGTTGTTATCCGTCAAGCAAACAGGTCTGCCCTTGTATTAGGGTGTCCCACAACTTTTACCGTTTCTACCCTAAACGTCAGCATTTCTCAAGAACTGGGGCACCTTCAAAGGGTATAAACACATGGTCGTACTTCAGTATGTAAGAGCTATATGATCATGTGCGTGTGAGAAGCTCAGGACGGCTGCGGGCAGAGTTTTTGATCGTGCGTTCAATTTATTCCTTTATTTCCAACCATGGAAAAAAACGGAAGGTGCACAGTTAAATGTCCAATGTCTCAAGCATATGCTAGAATAAATGAGGAGTTTTTGAGATTTTTTGAAACGGAGATGGTCCCAGAAGGTATACAACCAAGTATACAACCAAAAATCTACATGGTCGTCCATGTGTTAAAAAAAGCAAAAGTGAGCATTGGGCAGAAGCTTTTTGTGAACCACAGTCATTTAACAGAACGTGTCTAGCTGGACATGTCATTCGTCTCTGATACTAACATCTGCTGCCATCTTCTTTCTCCTCATCGCAAATAATCCTTTTACTGTCCGTGTACGTGCTTTGGCATCCAGTATATGATGTCATCTTCAACTTTCAATGCTTATCATGCATTTATAGGCGAAAAGTGCTCATTACAGAACTGTGGGAATGAACATGCACATTACAATACATCATTTTTCCTCAATTTCAACGTTTCACACCAGGGGCGGTCTTTATCAATCTCCTATATAGGAAGGGGTTCCTACAGGTAACAACTCGTACAGGCGCTGTACTGCCGCCCGCGATACACAAAACCAAGCTGGTAATCGAACTCCTGTCTTCTGGAGAATATGGTCCGATCCGGCAAGTTTGGCCATGTCGGGCACAGCAGTCGGGCAGCGGAGCCCGACCTGTGGAGATCGGGCTCTGCTGACTATCTGCCGCACCCGACATTGCCAGCTTAGGCCACATTCTAAACTTTGAATCACAGGATTGGCGCTCTCGCCTGTCCGGGCACTCGTTAATAATGGCCCGAACACCGAGTGGGAAGTTGATTAATATCGCCCCAAATGAGTGCATTACTAAACACCGCTTATCGCAGCGCTTATCCGCCCAAACACTTACAATTCATCATGTCGTGTTTATCTTTTTAGAGGAAAGGTTGTTTCGTAGGTTTATGATTTAGCTCGCAATCCTTGGGAATCAAGGATACAATAGGTTAGAACTTCTTTGAAAGTCTTCCACTTCGATTATTGAGAAGTGGCTACTTGGCGAGTGAACTGAATGTTGCAATATATACTGCTTGTAAATTGGTAACTTTACCTTCAGTTTTTCGCTGCTGGCTAGCCGGTTTTCAAATACCATGCAAGTTTGATAACTCATTACGACTAAATCTTGAACTTTTCATAATTTCGCTACAAATCTTTGCTAGATCATAAAATTCTATTAATTTCAAATGCTAATCTGCTTCACAATGGCCACATCTTATCTCTCCATAATGATTTCGACTTTTATCGTAAAAATTCGTTGTTTTTAAAAACTGATACTTATTTTCGCCTCACTTTCGCATTTTATAAGAATATTGAAGCCTCCTAGCAATGGAATTGGCGGAGCATTGCAAGCAGCTGATATATGATTCTATGAGTACCTTTTTCGAACTTTCGAAATTTCGATCAATGGAAATCTAGTCTTATAGCGAACTGGACTGCTGTCAAGAATGAATTGGGAGATATTTTATAGCGCTCAACTTGCTTTGCTCATCGACGCCGACTGACGAGTATGACAGCTAATAAAAACAACAAGCAATGAAGCAATCAAGCAAAAATCGGGCGCTATTCCAGAATACACAACCCAGAAATTAAAAACCTCGGATTTTGCTAAAACTTTGCGTATAGGGGTTGTTTGACATGCTAATCACGAAAATCGTACTCATTTGGCATGAAAGGAACATTTTTTGGGATTACGGTAGGTTTACGGTAGGGGGGGGGGCAAAATTACGGATTCGCCTGAAATTTGGTGTAGAGGGTTATCCGACTCACTGATCACGAATATCATATCCATTCCTCGCCTAGACTCATATGGTAAGGTAACGGTAGATAAACAGTGCGGGGTCAAAATTTCAGATTCGGCTGAAATTTGGTCAAGAGAGGTTATTCGACATGCTGATCACGAATATCGCACTTTTTCCGCGCGAAAGCCTCTCTATGGTCACGGTAGGTGGCAGGACGTCAAAATCTGAATTTGGCTAAAATTTGAGCTGGGGGGGGTTATTTAGCACGCTAAACATGGATATCATATTGACTTTGTACGGTAGCGCCATTTTCTCGAGTTACGCTAGGTACCACACGGTACAGGGGTGAAGATTTCAAATTTGCTTGAAGGCGGTGTCCGGGCAAGGTCCATCTACACAGATGAGCACATAGTTGTAAAAAGGGGTCCATGAGTATCCGATCTGCGTTGGTTCGATCCTCTGACGTGGACTCTAAGGCCCGTATGCACGTACATCCCCGCTGGGGAGGGGAGGGGATCTGAGAGGGGATGCGTCATATCTCGCTACTTTACGTATCTTTCTTCTTCCTTTTCTATTTTGCTTATGAAGGTTCTCATACCCTACTACCTGCGCATAATCGATCCCAGGTTACTGGCATAACTGATTAGATTTGTACTATTTTGTGTGATCCCCTGGGGATCCCCAGGGGATCCCCAGGGGATCACCTCTCATTTTCAAAGTCATTTATCTTCCTGAGAAATCAATAAAAACGCCGCAAAATTGTACTGAGGATATACTACGGTACTGCTAAGCATGTTTAAAGTAAAAATAAGTGAAATCCCAGGATATCGAAATCTTCGGTAATCCCTGGCTCAAAAACTAGGGATCATCGAAAATTTCACAATCTTCAGATTCCATTTTTTCTGTCGAAAACATGCTTAGCAGTGCCGTAGGATATCCTCAGTACAATTTTGCGGCGTTTCCATTGGTTTCTCAGAAGGATAAATGACTTTGAAAATGAGGGGTGATCCCCTGGGGATTCCCTGGGGATCCCCGGGGGATCACACGAAATAGTACAAATCTAATCAGTTATGCCAGTAACCTGGCATCAATTATGCGCAGGTAGTAGGGTATGAGAACCTTCATAAGCAAGATAGAAAAGGAAGAAGAAAGATACGTAAAGTAGCGAGATATGGCGCATCCCCTCTCAGATCCCCTCCCCTCCCCAGCGGGGATGTACGTGCATACGGGCCTAAAAGGAGATACGGGCCTGTGATACGTATCACAATCCGCCCCTTCGTATCACAAACCACCTTTGAGGACGTGTGCTCACGCATCGATCGATCATGGATTGCGACTGCACCCAAGCATTTTCAGCTCCTCCTCAGTGGCGAGCCGGAGGGATTAACGATCCGAAACTCGTCCGAGTCCTTAAATCAAGGTCCCAGGAGTCGGGTTTTTCAAGAATTTTGGACAATTTGAACTTTATAACTGTAACCAGGGCCACGGAAAGGCCCTAGAACGACGAAAACATGAGAGGCAAAATTCTTCCCGAACGTTGCCTTTAGAACGTTGCCTAGAGGGGTATTCAAGCATGCTGATAACGAATATGCTTGAAATAATAAATAATAAATAAATAACGACTTGCTCGCTACAACAACGTTTTGTTCTGGAGTTATGGCAATTTGCAGGGCTTAGGTCTTGCCGGCTTTTCGGACCAATTAAGATTCCAAAAATCCACGAGAAGGCCTTATAAGCGGAATGAACACGATCTTAGTGATGAGCATATCAGATAACACCCCTGCACAGTTTCAGGCAGATCTACGGTTTTGACCCCTTACCACGTACCTACTGTAACCGTATAAGGAGAGGTTTTTCGTGAGAGCAAAGTGTGGTTCGTGATAGTATGTCGAATCACCCCATTTCGCAAGGTCTTAGCGAATTGCGAGATGACCCCATACCATAATCCTACCGTAATCCCACCATAAGGCGCTTCCGTGGGGAATGGATATGATATTCGTGGTCAGCACGTCGAATAACCTCCTTACGCAAAGTTTTAGCGTCTTCTGAGATTTTGACCCCATACCGTATGCCTACCGTAACCCCTCAAAGAAGGCCCTACCATGCAAAATAGATATCATTTTCGTGATCAGTGGGTCGGGTAACCACTCTACACCAAATTTCAAGCGAATCCGTGGTGTTGACTTCCTACCGTATATCTACCGTAACCCCGCAAAAATGGTCCTTTCATGCAAAACGAGTACGATTTTCGTGATCAGCATGGCATATAACCCCTATAGCAAAGTTTTTGCAAAATCCGAGATTTTTGATTTTTGGGCTGTGTATTCTGAAATAGTACCAAAAAATCGTATCAGAGTCAAGGATGATTCAAAGAAAAAGCTGGCTTTCAATCAATGTAATAGTAGCTACTTACCACTATCTTTTAGGGTAGAGCGACTTCGTTTCAAGAGGCACAGTCACAGCTACAGTGACAGTCACTGGTAAATTAAGAAATGTCGAGGAAGCGCCTGTGCAGTCAATACACGAACTTATAAACATGTATTATCATGTTTGTAGCTTGAATAAATGCTTGAATGTGTGAGCAGGCTCTCACACGATGCTTTCTGATTTGAATTTGGGTTTGTCATGACTTCGTCCGCCTCCATGTTTCACTCATTTCGGTCATCAGACCCAAGACCAAAGTACAATAAATGAAAAGTTTACCAATGCCATTCTAAGGACTTTATACCTTAGCGAAAACAGGGTCAAAAGTTGAAAATAATGTTCTTTGTTGTGACCAAATATCAATTTGTTCAAATTGTCAATAGCTTCACGCACTTCAAACTTTTGCAGTGAGAAATCTTGCTATCCCGAAAAAAGCTGAGTTATATGTGTATGTATCATAGTTCAAAGATATGACGCGCTTACCAGAAATTGAAATAAGAAAATGACTTATGATCTCAACCTCTATAGCAGTATGCTATAGCAGTATGATATGTCTTCGCCCATTGATTTTAAAAACTGTGGATTGATTGATAACAAACACAATTGGATAGGAGACGTAATAAGTAGCATCCTCGTTGTCACGGAGGATGTTACACCATCTTGCTTATGAACTTGAAATCCTGAAATGTTTGCAAGTAGGAATTTTGATCACAGTACTTTAAACCAAATAAATTCAAACTTGTCAGCTACATATATCCAATATCATGTTTCTCAAAGAACATTCAGTAGAGCCAACAGATGACTCCGATAACTTCATGAAATGATGCAAAGAACTGATGATGCAAGATGTTTTTGCCCAAACTCGTGAAGGTCATGACATCAAATATAGATGTAGAGCGAATAGCAGCTAATTTATTATAATTAGAGGTAGTGGACGAGGACGGAGGACGCGTAGATGAATCCTATCCTTCAACCATATAGATTGAAATTGCGCCTTTCGGAAGGAAAAAGTTGATAAATGCATTTAACAATATGTTGATTCTTCAGCCATTCCAGCAGAAAATTTGCGAAAGAGAATGGGACAAGAGCAAGGTAATTCGGCTTCATAGCAAGCTAGCTTTGAAGAGGCGACATTGAAAGTGTAAGGTCTGAAGCCGTGGGCATAGCTCACGCAAATTCGTCGAGAAACGATTTGCTAAGTGGACAAGTGTTCTTGCGCTGTTAAGTGTGTTGGTCCCGAAGCATATATGATGGCTGTTTGCCGCGCTAGATTGCTACACACTCCGACGGTTTTGCCGAGTCGGCGGGATGTCGCGCCGTCCATCTGCGGCGAGCAAGGGGCAACCGTCTCGCCGTTTGTGAACAGCAGTTTTGATTTTTTTGTATTTTGTTGTTTGTGAAGTGTATGGCTGTATTTTTTCGAGGAAGCCATACTTCCCGGACATTGCTAACAAAGCATATGTTTCCAAGAAGCGGCATACGCAAAGAATTTTGCGGCGCCTCTATTCCCGACAAAAAAAAACTGCCGTTTCTGCAAATCTGCTTGCAAAAAAGAGATTAGCAACTCAAAAAGGCGTTATTGACGGTAGTGCTTATTACCGAAGATGTATTTCAGTAGAATCGTGAATGCCATACTGATAATCCATCATCATCTTACATGGAGACCACGAATAAATTCTATGCGGAAACGGACTACTTGGATCCGGTCATTAACAAATTTGATAGAGTATTCTCGCATTCATTGCTTTCACGCATTTTGTGGCCTTTTTAGAAATTTCCTTTTGATCGCCTACAGGATGCAAATATTTCGATTCACATGAACACGTAACTACTCCCGCAGTGGCGCGATTTTGGTTTGACAGTTTAGTGTGGTGTTGTACAATTGCATGAAATTGCGTCAGAGGTGTGCACGCGGATAACCGATAAGCGATTGGTCTCGCCGCTTCCTGTCGGCAATTTGAGCGGGTCGTCGGGATCAAAAATCTTGACTTCGTTGCTTGAGGTGCGCCTAGGGCCTAAGTCATACCTCACACGCAACAAGTCGCTCAAATCGATTCGGCATTTTGTCAGACGTCTAACAGTTTACCGTGCGCCTTCTCTTGCATAGATGCGTGGCTTTGCCAATGAATAAAATGCACCTAGTCTTGCCCAAGCAAAGACTTCGCTTATGACCAGCGTTGAGCTTGGGGTCAGACGCGCCCGACCTGGGGGTCGTATTGGGGTAAGACTGAGGGGAGTGGGTCGTAATCAAGACGAATTTGTTCACAAATGGAGAACTCTACGACTGAGGGAGGTGAAGAAGGGCGCTAGACAAATGAATATCATTTTACCGGAGAGGGAATGACTGTCGTCAATTGCATATTGGTTAAATCTACTAACGAAGTTTCTGCCAACGGTAAGGTCACCAAAAAGGCTTGCTGTGTAAAGTGGGTAAGATTTCTGTAATCAGCATGCCAAATTACCTATGCGAGCTCTACAAACCACCATCTATCACATTTCCTAGAGTTTCCTAACGTCTAGGAAGCGTGATTTTTAGACTTCTTTTACTTGTGTGATTAACTTGGTCACAAAGTAAAAGAAGTCTGTTTTTTATGCTCAAAACGAAGTAATTCTCTTTATCAGTCTATGATGGAAGTTAGACTTCCTTTAGACTTCCTATCGCTTTCAAAAAGTGGATCAAGAAGTGCTGCCAAAATTCCAATCACCGCGTTTCCCACCTTGAGTGCTTTAACTCCACCGATCATCATAAACAGGTCCAAGTAAGCTCAAACATCTACTGTAGAATTTTCGAGAGTTGTGTTAGCGAATCACATAGAAGTAGGGTGGAAAAGATTCTTCGGTGATAAAGTTAACCGGGTCACCCATCAAAAATCAAAAGTCAGGTCGCCTGAGCTTTTGTAGCCTTGCGCCTGACACCCTTAAAGGCAGCGACTCGGCAGATTCTCGACTTGGAGTTTTTTTTTGCTTCCCTGGGGTAATTCGAGGAAGTGATTCCGAAAATCCACCTTGAAGAGAGCAAAGTTGGCAAAAACCACCATTCAAGGCCTCCCATTTTGAATTTAGACGAGTGGACCACTTCCCGCCATGTTTAGAGAGGCAGACTCGTTGCCGGACCCTCATGTTTATAGCATTGCGGCACGCCTCCTCTGACGGCGTGAGGAATATCGCAAGCTCGTCCGCGCATATTAGAATGGCTTGCGCGTGAAGGGCTTTTCTAGGCAAAGGCAGCATGCTGTGCGCTCGGACCTGCTCTGTTCTCATGTTAGGGGTGCAAGCAACGTTCGAGATGTT